TGAAAACCAAACTGATTTGCAGATGAGTGTATATTCGCTAATTTCGTGCAATTTGGTTTCAAGTGGAACATAAGGTTGACGGAAACCCGGGGACTGCGCCTATCTGATGAGCCCCAAGAAGGGAGAAACCGGTCGTGGGCTGTCCATGTGTTTTCAGCAACCTTATGATTAGTTTCCTTTATGAAAAAATCATTTTTGTTTCAAAAATGGAGACTGAAATTTGTCTTGCGTTATTTTCCTCGAGAAATTGGAGACCTTCGACGAGCTGGGCACCACAAAAGCAGGCCGATGTAATCGAGTAGCCATCTGGCTTTTTCGATTGACAGCCATTTAACACCTACTCTCCAGTGGTGGGATATGTTCACATTGATGCTGAAATCAGTGAGACACGCGGATTCTTTGTGGTGAGGTGAAGTTCCAAAACAGATTTTTTTTATAGTTTTGCAGCTAAGAGAGTTGATTGCTGAGCAACTCGTGTCATGAAATTCGAATTCTCTCAAAAAGTTGCCAAAATGCTCGTTTTTAAAGTGTATTTTACGTTAAACTGCAAAAAACAGTTTACTTCTACATAATGAGTATATATGCTACATGTGTTCCCGTCTTGAAAAAGTTTCGTTTACATTTTTCCGTCAAGGGATTGTTGGGTTTGTTTATCTCGCTCGGATTTGGCGCCAACATAAACCGTCGACTCGCGCGTTACTGTTGTTTAAATGAATACTGAATTTTACCTTTCAGGTGCCGGTGTCATTTTCCCTGGTCTGACGGGGCACGTGATTGAGGCTGTGGAAACGGGAGACATTCTACAAGAGTGTCAAGTGGTTAGTTCGAAGCCGAGTGAATACAACTATCAGTGGTTTGGTCCAAACGACAATCGAAAGTTGGTATCGAACACCGCCTACCTCCAACGAGATTACGTAATTCGCCCTCGGGATGAAGGTGTCTACGTCTGCCAGGCAACACCAACCGAGTCTGGTCGAGCTGTCGTCGAGAACAGTCTGATCGTCACAATAAGTCGTGAGTTGATATTGGTGTTTGAGGGCGCGTTCCGTGGGTAGGCTCAATGGTTCCATTTACTTAGTGTTTTGGCGACACTTACGTGACTCCACAAGTAGGCAAGAGGAAAAGGGAACGTTTAATTTCCGAAGCGGTTCATATGCTGCTTTCATCAGGCCTCTAGGTGAAGTTTTTCGGGACTGACAGTTTTTGTAGCCGGTTTGTGAGATTTCAGTTACTTTCAGCTAAGTTTTGCACTCCAACGGAAGAATTTCAACGCGTAGCATGTCATCATTTTGGATGACGATTACACTGTCGCCTTTCGTCTCTCATGACTACGTTCCTATTCTAGTGACCCAGACATCATGATGAAATGCTCAGCTCTGCTTAGTTCACCTCTGATTGGAGTTGTGACACCTTCGACTGGGTATGTTTTCAGGAAGTACTCATGACCTTCTATCACGAAGTTCTCAACAGTACTCCACCATTTCGCTTCATTGTTTGGTAGCTGATCATCAATATCCACCCCGTAGTTGATCAGCTGATCTGACAAGCAGCATAAGAACACAGAGGTCAACCAGCTAATGCTAGTGATGACCCAAGATGCGTGCACGAATGAACACCAGAAAATATTCCCGTGTGATTCGACAAAAGGATTGAGGACCTAAACTTCTGCAGATCACTAGGCTGGTTGGTCACTGTTTGAAATATAAAAGTTAGAAAGAGTAGGAACAGGTGATTGGGGAAGAGTGCGCATTTCCTTCTCTTTATCTGTTTCATTTTTCGTTTTGTCCTTCAGTTTCACATTCAGTTTTCTGGCTTTTTGGTCCCCAAAACTTGCAATAAATGACGAACCAAGTGAACAAATATGGGCTGGATAAACACCAAGGTAGGGTTTTGTTCTCTCTACTACTGAAAGGAAAAAAGGCCTTCACTGCGGGGTTATTTATTCGGAAATGCCAACTGACCGGTTACAGACCGTTGAATAGGGAAGCAAAACTCTAATCTGCATCTTAGTTACAAAAACTGGACACAGATCTTCTCCCAAACGAGTCTTCCTAGAGATTCATTGCCTCCACTCATTCGTCGGTCAAATGCAAGCAAATGTTACAAAGTGGCCCCACGAATTCCGCAACAGAGTTCCCTTTTTCAATCGACGCAAAGCGAAATTCTACGAACAACACATACTACTCGCGTGCCTCCCGATCGGTAGTATCACCGTTACACTACCTGTGAGTGATACTGGTTCACTACAACGTGGGGGGTTCATGCCTTGAAGGGCCTCCAATGATGAATGGCAAACGTATAGCACACATTCCAAAATTCCGCTGTGATGTCATCGATATACGGAAATGGAAGGATATAATGCCTAGCGCTGTAAAAGCTGTACACTGTTATCAATAGATGTGTGACATTCAACGTGTATTGCCGATTTCAACGACTGTTAGTACTATCGGGAGATTTGGGGATTTTTATTGGAGAGTTCATTCTGTAAGTAAAACCAATCTATGAATAAGAACAGGGAATTATACTACAATAGTTCCATCCAGGCTAAGCTTCAACCGTCAGTAAATAGCTCTGCGAAAGAGGGAAATCCGGCCAATGAGTGAATATTCATCTGAGAAGTGATCAGTCAAGCAGCCAATCAGCACGTGATCACGTGATGCGGTTTCTGCGACTAAAGAATGAGTGGCGTTGTGTCCAACGCGTTAACAGCAATATTGCTCAGCTGATTGCGGTTGGAGTGGCCCTGAGGTCACCGTTTTGACATTTCATGCTGCATTTTCGTGAGATGTGCACTGGTGATGAGTCCCAATACGGATTATATTGTTGTGCCGTACTTCTCACCTTTTCAGCATCAACTGCTACCATTTAGACGATCGAATCTCAGTTAAAATTTATGGAATCACTTCATGCTATTACCTGATGGTTTCTGCCTCAACTGAATCACCAAGAATTAATTACTTTTATGCCAGTGATTGATTTTTTTTGCTGTTTGGGCGGCGCTACTGGGAGTTTTTCAGTCTTCCATGTTGAGAGATGTTGCTGATTAGGATGGGTGAGCGTCTGGTTTCGGTTTTTCCGGTCACACCAAACTATGTCGATAGACCTCCCTTCCACACGTAATTTGTCATTCGACTAAACGCTTTGTCACGAAAGAATAGGGCCGAGTCGTGGACAGGAAGGAGCGGTTCCAAAGCAAGATGGACGTTCAGACAGTGGTAGCTCATTACATTTGAAACAAATGAGAAATGGCAACGAAAGTTAACAAAAATGCAGAAAGGAAAACCTGAAGCGAAATGTTTGAATTTTTTCTGGGTATTCCTGGTGGGCTCATCCGATTTTGCCGCGATCTGGTAAAATATAATCGTCCACAATTTGCTGACATTGAGGGCTTCACATTCAGTTTTCAACTAATTTATTTCAATACTCTCTGATGCAACACAGGTGCCTGTAAATTCATCATCATCATCAAAGACAGCAACATCAGTGTTGGCACTGATGCTTCGCTGACGTACAACCATGAGGTCCGTCTAGTTACATAAACATACATATTATATAATTATATTAAAAGCCGTAAGGCGAAAAGAAGAGAAAAAGAGTGGGTGAGAGACGGGACCTAGTGCTGACATGTGTCAAGCATTCTGAGGTGCCTATGCCACCAACCGCTCAATCAGACAATCTGGAAAGAAACTGACGGCATGAACGCCACTGACATCGATTAGCCGCCATTTCTCGCAACGTCCCCAGCCAAACACAGACGGGGTCACGGGGACCCCATCCTGGAAGGCGTACAACACCAACATCACCCAAACTCTTCGTGATCACTTTGACGCCTGTAAATTCTTGTAATCCGTGATTGGGTGTGGTTTTGCTTCCGATCTCAGAGCCGCCATTGTCTGACAGATCAACTTGCAAACAAATTAATATTTCATTAGTAAGGGTTAAGTAGAAGACAAAATCGAATAATTTGTCCGATTCCCCCTTAATCATGGATGAAGACATTTTTTAACCAGGCTTCGGTAACTGTAGACTGTAATTTACTTGGTGAGAAAAAATGTAACCCCTTGATGCGAATATTCAGTGGTGAAATCTAATTTGGTCAAGCTAAGACCCCATAGATCTCATCCGTGATTTTAGTTGTTTCAGCACGAAAAATCAATACTGCGTTTTGCTTCATTCGTGGATTCCCGCCTACTTCGCAAACAATAAACTAAATGGCCCTGAGTGGTCCACTGTCCATTTCTAGTTCAGTGACCGGCAAAAAGAAGTCAAAATATTTGAAAAACCATGGACCAGACGAACATGTCAGATCAGGTATAAGCAGTCAATCGAATTCCAATTCGGTTACCTGGTCACAATAATCATCATAATCAGTAATCTGGTTGTTGATCTGTTCGCAGAGCTTGGTAGTTGTATTGCGAATGTTTCATCACCAATCGAGGTGGTGTCGTCAGTGCACCCGATGTAACGGTGGATACTACTGATGGGACATTCGAGTAGCATATTTTCTTGTAAATCCGCTTCACGTCTTTTGAAAAGTGAGATCTATTACGGCATTTGTGGAATCGTATTCGCTTGCATTTGAGCAACAGTCAATGAATGTGCAGTAAAGTTCAGGAAGACGCGTTCAAGGAGAAGATGGATATTTAGTTTTTGTAAACAAGATGCATATGAGAGTTTTGCTTCCCTGTCCAATAGTCTGTAACCGGTCAGTTGGCGTCTTCTAGTAAGTAACGCCGCAGCGAAGGCCTGTTTTCTTTCACCTCAATTCCATAACATTGCTACTCAGCAGTCTTTTCCTTGTCGACTGTTGAGTGGCTATCAATTACCAGATATATTTTTATTCCAGAGCAACAGAGCTGAAAGGTCTATACCGGTACCGAAATACAAAAACGACCTCTGGTGTTTTTCTGATCGTCGACCGACTGACACAGTTCACTGCCATTCTGTAGGTGACACAATTGGCAAGCACCAGTTTTGTGTGGAGTAGGTCACGCCACCAATTTGGCCAAACAAAAGTTGGTTAAACTGTCCACTGCAATAGAAGGCAGCTTTCGTAGAGAGAATTTAAAATAGTTTTATATATGTCTAACGGAATATTATCATTAAAGCACCATTGGCCCAACAATGAGGATAAATTGTGTGGCTGTACACGCCTTATATTTGTGTTGCAAGTGTAACACACAGTGCTTAGCATCGGTCCGTTCTCGAAATGAGTGCGTTCAGAAGTCAGTCAGAAGTCAGTTTTTTAAATACTGAGCCTTAAGAAAACGATGCCACTCCGGGGCCAATGATTTGTTCGATGGTCGTTATGCTATATTACGCTTTGACTTTCGTTGGGCTTTTTGACTACCACGATCGGTGCTGCCCATTCTGAATGATTGACTGTTCGAATGACTCACTCGTTTTGCAGTCTCTATAGCTCTTGATCAACTACAGGCAATACAGCATATGAACCAGGCCTCCTTGGGCGGACCACAGGTTTTGCATTCTAACGTAGAAACAGAAGGGCTTTAGTCTTTGAACACATTCCGAGGGTACCGTTGAACACAATGAAACAAGTTGTCAAAAGTTGTTCTGCCCATTTTGAGGTTTGAGAGAAATCCAAATTTACAGGGTTGCATGCAGTGTTCAGGGGAATTTCCATCAGCCTCAGTCTGTCGACCAAGCAGGTCCAAATGTGGTACATTGGTCGGATAATATATTCCAGTGAAAAGAATATTGTTGCACAACACAGAATAAGAAAGCCCACCGGCCAATTGGAATTTTGCAGCAGAAGCGTTTAAAGCAACACGATTTGTGGGGTTGAAACGACGTCTACCACTTATGTTCTAGGTATCGTTTGCAATGATTGTGATGTCGGAGGCGACATCGCGTTGCAATCATACTGCTGTGTTATTTAGGGCAACTGACACAATTATCCTCTGACGTTTCCAATCCAGGTTGAAAGCGGTGTGTGATTTGAAGGATGCACTGTTCACTTGAATGGTTTGTTTCCTTGTTGAGAGAAGGTTGTGTGGCAACACTCTTCTTTGTGTCCTTTTTTTGTGGCACTTCTGACTTCTAGTGCTTTTTGAAAGGGCAGAAACGGACGAAGTGCCATTCACTGCACTGCCACCAGAGCGTAGGTGGATTACCGAACTCCACCGATTGCTTCTTCGCACGTGGCCTTTGAATAATCTTCGAAACATGACCGGACTGAGATAGGTTATTGTGTTCTATCAAGGCTGTATCGGGCTCGAGAGTAAGCAAACGTCGGCACTCTGTGGTAACCGTTTGGAGGTTCATTGACCTTTGTAGGTTCAAAATGTTGTCACCCTGCCCGGTGATTCAACACTTACAGCTACTGGATCAGGTTCAATAAGCCAATCGACACCCACTTATACAACCTGAAGAATTAACCTTCTTTTACGTACCATACAACACAAAACATTCTATCCCATGCTGTCATTCACGTATTAATTTAATTTTCATGGGAGACCCAGTTGAAACTCTGGTTTATGATACTCCTCAACTGAATTTGCTGCACAAAGGCCGCTTTGTGTTCCGATATTCGAGATATCGCAATATATTTTCATGATGGAAACTACTCACAAGGTTGCTGAAAGTTCCTAAAGTGCCCATTACAAGTTTTGCCCTTCCCATAGCTCATCAGATGGGTGCAGTTCCTGAGTTTCCCTTCAACCTTATGTTCTAATTTAACGCAATTTTGACAAATACACTCGTCCACATGTCAGTTCGCTTCTCATGGAAGATTCACATCCAACTTTTTGCGAAGAAATGATGCTAGTTAGTAGTTACCGTCTATCGGTAGATTGCTGTTTTGTCATCTCTATTTTGCCGTCTCTCTGTTGCAAAATCTCATCAGAAAAACTCAAACTGTCAGTCGGTTACCAGCAGTCTATTCAGCATCGATATCAGTTTGGATTAGCAGTGGCTTTGATTGAAGTAGGTAATCTTTCATCTAGTTTTTAGGGATTCCTGTTAGCCCAACACACGCATCTGGAGGTTTTTACTAGAATTCACTTCGAAGGTTGCTCTTTATCCCGTTCTGCTTAGCGTGTTCAAGAAAGGATGACTCAGTGAACACGTGTGTTTGTCCTCTGTGCCTCTTTCTTCCAAACTATAGCCCTACGTTTCCAAATCAACACAATCGCTGAAGATCTAAAGATTGGCGGGTTTGTTCGTAAACGTATCGAACTGCTCCCCAACGCGAATCAGGCCTTGTCCACGCGAGAGACATTTGTCTATCAGTGGTACAAACCGGACGGCACTGCGGTTGCTCAAGGACCGGAGATGCATGTCCAATTTTGGTCAGCGGACGATTTTGGACGATACACCGTTCAGGTCAAAGGATTGAACTCCGGATACTCACGAGAATTAATCAGCTACGTTGTCATGGACGGTGAGTATGATTTTCAAACAGGAAACATCACTCTTCCCCAGAAATGTAGTCCTCAGTTTAAAAAACAGAAAATCTTTTCTACATGGAACATGTACTGTCCTTTTCGGGGTTAGGATCGGTCACAATTTTTTTCTTACTTTCATTAGACAATATAATCACACCAAATTGTCCGACAAAAAGCTCACATTTGAATACATTCCAATGCAATTATTCAAACTCGTCGCAGTAGAAGTATATGGAGTGCATTTTGCCATCAGTACAGAAGAAACACTCAGTCTACAAGTAGTAAGAGGTCTCCACATGAAGTTCACACACTCTGAATGTCTAGTTCAGCTCCAAGTGAGGAAAAGCAGTCATCGAGGACAAGCAGGCTTGACACTTAACTCCTGTGGAGGCGTATAAGGTCCGCTACAAAACAAGCGAATCAAATCTCGGCCGGTATGTGTGACTTGACAAGTCTTGCCTGATCCAGTTGTTCCCACGACACTGTATTAAAAATTCGAAGATTCACGGAATCAAAGACCTTCTCGGAAGTGCATTCTTGAACAAACTATCCAGCAGTTCATGAACACGTTTTGTCTCCAGATAAAAGCTCGTACCTGTTAGCCTAAGTAGCGCCCGATGTGTCATTTGTGAATTTCACTTCATCCGGTAAACTGATGCCGTACTCTAAAAGAAACGCAGTCCGATTACACAGACCCGCGATAGCCCGCATCAGCTTTCTGCATCACCATAAAAATAACTGGCAATCGTGAATCAATGACGAGTCACGTTTCAGATTTTTCGCAACGAACACCCTGCTAGTCAGCCGACGGTAATTTCGGTTTGGCTTTACCGTGGCTGATACTATGGAACGCTTGAGTCCTACCTCATTTGAAGGAGTAGTTGTTTTCCTACGTCAAACATTTGAGCCCTAGTATCTTGGACGACTCAAAGAAGCGATGTGTGGATCGCTAAGTTGACAAGTAAAGCGTCTGTTACGTAAAGACAGACAAGTGACAACTGTGTACCACTCTATAACTTTGATGGTAAACTCCTCTCATGAATTGTGTCATTATATAGCAAGGCGGAATGAACGCTTATAGAACTAAACCAGATTCTATGTGATCTTCGGCCTTTTTGGCATCGTCAGGCGATTCTGGTTCCACAGCTGGAAACCTCATAGGATCAAGTCCCAACCTTGAGCAATCAAGCAGTAATCTTTGCTACTGAACAATACCAATAACAGAGAATTAGGGCTGATTCAACTTCCAGAAGAACAAACTGAAAGCCAGCTGAATCTCTCGTTTGTGTTGTTTTCAGGAAACTGAATGTGCTGCACCAGGCCGCCTCATGTTTCAGCCGCTACGATATTCGAGATATCGCGATACATTTATATTTTTGTAATGCACTACTCATAAGGTTGCTGAAAACCAGTCGGCAGCCCACGACCGGTTTCGCTCTTTTTGGGGCTTATCAGGTATGCGCAGTTGCCTGAAGACATCACAAACAAGAGATTCAGCCGGGCTCCAGGCGAGTCTCTCGAAAAAAAGAATTAGTTTGCAAATGAGTGTATATTCGCTGATTTCGTGCAATTTGGTTTCAAGTGGAGCATAAGGTTGATGGAAACCCGGGGAATGCACCTACCTGATGGGCCATAAGAAGGGCAAAACCGGTCGTGGGCTGTCAACGGATTTTCAGTAACCTTATGAGTAGTACATTACAAACAACCTGGAAGCTTGTCATCCACAATGAAACATTGGTCTTGTCGTTTTGTAAGTATAATGACAGAATATTGGGTTTTATTGCAATTTGTTTGGTTAACCGATTAGCTACCAGTGCGTTACATTACGTCTCAATCCAATACTCTTTCCAACTAACGCCCTCTAAACGTGTACTTTTTTACAGGATATTTCGTGCAGTACATTTCTTTTGTCGAAGGCGAACTCGCTCCTCAGTGACAGGTGATCCTATAGACAAATGAGAAAGACCGCTTATGTAGACTTTCTGAGTGGATCTTTCTTTTTGTGGGTACCCATTTGCGGAGTTTTTTTGTATATCTATTGCAGAAACTGTATTTCAACCACCACTGAAATGAGGGGATTGATTAAATTTCTTGCTTCCACTTCTGTGACAGATGCGTGAATAGCGTCAGACCAAAAGACGACTTACTTCGAATTAGAATCTATTGCAAAACACTTTGTGTTCCCACATCCACTTTTTTTACCACAGACAGTTGAAAATTGCAAATTTTACCAGTATAGCACTTAGTCCTCATGTCCAAGCATGGAACTCGGTCAGCACCATCGACACACCGGGGAACGACAACATCTGCGATACTAGACAGATTTTTCTGGACACTGGTCAACTGGAATCACCGTTCCGACTCTTTTCCCAGTAATCGAACACAAGTAGATGAAAAGTCACACAACCCCGGCAAGGATCGTTACACACTCACAAGTTGATTTGAATCGACATCTGTTGAACTACCCCACCGAACACATTCGCTAAATAGCTGCAATTTAGGAAATACACGCGATTAGTCTGGACACATAAGAGTGTCATTCATTTTAGGTGAATGTATTGCTTTAGACTTTTTCGGCTTTCAGTTTGGCTGAAATTTCCGACGGAATATGTTGAATGGGGCTGTGAAAGTAGCTTGTCGGTATTTCATTTTGCAACAGATCACTATTCTCGAGAGGAGTTTAACTTAATAGCGCATCAAGTTTGCTGAAGCCTACTTCGGTTCACGTGCTGTTGCATTGAAGTTGTTTCGCAGCATAACATTGAAAAAAAATCCAGTTTTGAATGATAGAGTCATCACATAGAAAGCCTGTTAGTGATCTTTTGGTGTACGATGGAAATATTCTAAATATTAATGGGAATTATGAGTTTTGTCTGTGTGTTCCCTTAAACGCTTCTCCATTAAAATTCAAAAAAGTGACCTTTTTATCATAAAGGCGTAACAAAACACTCTGCGTAGTATTTGCTGAATTGTCTGGTCACATATATCTGTCAGGATCCTTGGTAGAACACTGACCAAAGAGTTGACAAAGACTCTCGACGGTCCACGATCTTTTTTGCTCTTCTTGGGACCTACCAGGTTGAAGCGACCCCCAAAGTCCCTTCAAACGTGTATGCTGCGCTCTACGTTGAACAATGACCTATACGGTGGAACCAGCTAGGGTTAATTTGGGTCCCTTTTCACATGGTCCTTCTAGCGTCAAGAAAACTCCCACAGCTAGTCCTTCTGCGTGATGTCCTGGCGTAATTTTTCAGTTCATAAAGAATCCAAATGATGACATCGCTTTGAGTTCCAGTGCTGCGTAAAACTCTGTTCATTTAACATCCGCGTTACTTAAATGTACAAGGCAAAGCAACTAGAAGTCGGTTTAGCAAAGCTTTTAACAGCTCTTGAGCGCGAATCTTTAACATAAGTAGCAAAACTCTGTTAAATTGCTCTTGAGAAGTTCTAAAAAGGATGCTCATACAAAGCATTGGTAGTACGGGCTATACAATCTCCGAAAAACTCCCAATAAATTAAAACTATACTATTTTTTCAACTCGAGAATCAATGTTTGCAGTGAAAAGAGGGTCGATTCAGTACCCCAGTTTTCTTGAACGGGTTAAGTAACTTATTTTCACAGAAAGCGGATACCGCTTCAGGAAAGTGATCAAAGTAAAAACATTATGAAAGGCATAGAAAATGGATTTTAGTAAATTTTTGAGAAGAAGAGTGCTCTATTACTGCTTGGCTTTGCCCATAAAACGTCTTCTCAGTTGAAAATTAACCATTTCGGTGGCTATTGCACGGTGCCCGTGGTTCTGAGTCATCAATAAATCACTTCTTTAGTTACCAGCGTAGAAAAATCCATCGCAAGAACGTATTGAACTGAGAACGTGAGGTAAAACAGATGGTGGAGTAGGCAAAAGGTTGAATATCATAAGTACTACAGTGGGCTTGAAGAATATCGAGTTTTTGGAAAACAGTTACATATAAAAATGTCGAGGGACCTTGGCAACTCCCAGCCGACAAAAAAGCATGCAAAGAATATTGGCATTATGAACCAACTTTAGAGTTTCGATGGAGATTTCGTCCTTCAAACGAGGCTAATCTATACTGAGAAGCCGGGATCATTGCACAGCTGTTTCAACCTTGTTGGGACTGTTCAAAAGGATCTCCGAATCTCCAGAAAGTCTCGAACCCGCGACATCCCACACAGTAGTATGAACATTTAACCGTCTGGCCATGAGAAATAATTAGCAGTGTGACCAGTTGTGACCTGGACGGGATATATCACCGCTCATTCTTCGGTCACTGGATCCACATCATGCAGTCACACGCGCTGGCTGGCCTCTGGAGCAGCAACTTCTCCAGATGCCGGGTGAATTTTACTCTTCCTCTAAGCTACTGATAGATTATTAGTAGTGTGTGGAGATATGGGGGTTTCGGTGGAGACCTCGTCCTATGCTGAAAAGTCGAGAAGAATAAAGAGTAAAGAGTAGAACGCTGAACTGCAGTATCAAGAGTTCAATAGAATAAATAGTGAGTTGGGCTCATGTTATTAGAATCGATGATTGATAGATGGCCAGTTCAGTCTCATAGACCAAGTCGAAAGTATTTGGTTGCATAAGGTGCGTTCCCTAGTCTCGTGGCGATGTCTGGCAGAGTTGAAATTTAACCAGTAAACTGTGTTTGGTGGCTCCACTGTAATCCACTGAGTAATTCTAAGCGATGCTGCTTTGAATCACTAAGTCGGTGTGAATTTCTTGCAGTGTTTGAACTAAACAATGAACCACCGACTAGAACGCCTTGATTCACAACCATCCCGACCAACTTTTCTTGCTTTTGGACAGATTTTGATAGGTTTCTCTCAGATCACATAGAACCGGCGCACCGAAAGGTTCCTACGTTCAAATCGGAGAATTGAGAAAGTATACTGGAATGTACCCCGGTCATTTGTACGAGGGCTGTACCTTCTCACAGTGCTATAGGTACTGTCTATCGGTAGTCCGCAGAATTGGGAGGAACTCAGTGAGCGGAGATCAAAATGCACTAAAGTGATATAAAAATCATTTTTATTGGATGAACTAATGGTTTTCCAGACTTTGTATGTCGCACTGACCGCCTTACTGAACAAATCGGCACTCCGAGATATCTGATGCTGCGTCAGCTCTCGTTCATTTTTGTCAATATGAACAGATTCAAGATAACACAACACAGTTGTCCAGCCTGGCAGTATATTTTCAATAGGTTAGTAAAATACCAGGCTTGTTTTGTGATGAACACTGGGGTTTACCTGACGTTTATGTCTAGGAACCAGACTCTGAAATTGAGTTGTTGAAAGCATGGGTCATCTCCTCAACAGGCGTCTCTCCGCAATATTTTGGAAACCGTGTGGGTGTAATTTTTTTAGCAAATTGGTTGGGAATGTGTTTTCACTTTCCTCTCATCAAGTGGCACCCGGAAGTGGCCTCGTGATCTATCCATCATCTTCTACTTTCTTTCGACAGGTTGCCTTTCTTTCAAATTCCTCGTTGTTGTTCTGCCAACAGAATATTGTTTGCTTTCTTTAAGTGGAATGACTGTTGCCCGGAGGGAGTGTACGGTCCTGTAATTCTTCCACCGAGTGCAGAGTTAAGGAGGCCTGTGCTCATACGAAACAAGCAAGCAGAAAGCAGTTGAGTTTCGCTGACACGGACTGGCCGATCGATAATTATAAAAAATATCATTCCGCTTCGATCAATTTGAAACAAGTATAAATAACGAACGTCGGCTCGTTTATTTTCGTGATAATTCATTTAAATGCCAGCCTGAATGCCGTTTTAACTGAATAATGAATTTTTGTGTACCGTATATAAAACTGCCTGTCCTATGCCAGTGTAAATATTGTTTCTCACAGGGAATTGTTACACCGTTCTTGTTATCCACATAGAGCAATGCAAGATCGATTCTTTTTACACTGTTTGAACAAGTGAGTAATTATTTCCCACGTCGCATTTTCCCCTGAAGGTAAACTCTTCTAAGTTAATGCAATTTCCCACATTTATGACTGATTCATTTATTTCTAGATGGAATTGTAGCCCCTACTTACACCGTGGTCATCCGAGAAGTTTCAGGACCTTTGTATTTCAATTCAAGACTTGAACTGGAATGCGCAACCAATCCGCCCAATCCCGCGGCTAGAATAAACTGGCTTGGTCCCGACGGCACAGTGGTTTCGGACTCCAGCCGCCTGATATTTGATAAATTCCTCTACCAACATCAAGGTCGCTACACCTGCCAAATTTTGCTACCCAACCAGGTTATACTTCGTCAGGTGAGACTGTATTTCAATAACTCTGGCGAATTATTCTAATCTTAAGCGGGGGGATTTCTACCAAATTATTTTAGCGGATGAACTTGATTTCATTAGAATGGTCGTTTTTCTGATCACTGTGGTAGTTTTAACAAAACTCCATAGCCTTGTTAGCAAGGGCTCTCCGGTTGAATAAAAACGCAATGTTTCCTCAAAGACGCAATACAGCTTCGAGATTTCTAGCTTCCAGTGGTCAACTGCCGCGTTGTATGGTTCACTTATAAAGACAAGTAAAGAGAAGGTGATTTTTATGTCTCACGTAGATTTTCGGAAATTCGCAAATATCAGCCATTGATTTTGGCTTCAATATCAAGTGAGACGGTGGAAGTTCAGATGGAGCAACGAGCAAATAAGCTGAATGAGGTGATCCTTCCGAATAGTTTCAAGTGGAAATTCTGGTGACAAAGTTTCTATGATGTCAACCAATTCGCTAGTGAATTCCATCTTACCGTTGCGTTTATTTGAATCGGAAGCCTGAAAACGGCTTTTCAGTAATGTTAATGATCCAATGATTTGATTGATTAATTCTTAAAAATCTAGCTTCAGCATAGTACCATTGTTATGGCTTTGTTTGGAACCGGTTGAATAAATAATTGTAACACCCTTTCGGTGCCTAACTGCCATGCCACCCGTAGGAAGCACGAGGGCTGGGATACTGCCAGGTTGTCCAAGCCCAGACAGGGGAAGTGGAGAAATGGAGGTCAGGTTCGAACCACGGACCTTCCGATCAGTAATTTCTCGCTCCGAAATACCGGCAGCATAAATCGCGTGGGTCCTGGGAGGTGCTTGAACTTTTGTCAACTTGGCAGAAATTTTTCCACGTAAAGTTTGAACTAGAAGGGTCCGCTTAATAGTGTGATTCATTAAAGTAAACGCTCTTTTACTGACGCCTGTTCATATCAATACCTGGTATCGCAACGATCCAGAAAACCATACTGAATGTTCCATGTGACTTGGAAGCGCTCCATTTCCGCAACTATAAGTTTTTTGTTAGGCACATGAGACTGGAGTACACTAAAGTCGATTTCCTAATGGTCCCAGTGAACTCAAATTATTTCGGATGTAAAAAAATGCTTGGTGCAAAGACTCGTTAGGGAAGAGAAACCACTTTGTTCGTTTTTCACTACACAAAGCGGTCCCTCCCTTAGAAGGGTAAGGGCGCTTAGTTCGAGGTTAGACCACTTTTGTTGAATAATTGTCCACTGACGAAGAAATTTCAAACTTTTTTATGTAGCTTCCGGAGTAGTTTTCAAAGTGTTAGCTTTAGAAACAGTTTTGAGCGAATAGTGCACCATCTTAATTAAGCGTTATATTTTTGGTGGACAACCCAATATCATTACCACATTTGGAAATGAAATGTCTACCCCGTTTAAAGGAGTCTTTCCCCCCTCTCTCGGAAAAAAACACAAGAGTCAGACAAAGTAACTCTTTTTATTTCGCTTGGTGCCCATTACAGTGTTAAGCTCCAAGAAAAGGGCAACCTCTGGAAGAGGACAATATCGTAGTTTTCTTCTTAGTTCACACATGTGATATTGCGACCTTGTAAGGAGTTGTAGTACTGATCAAAGTTGCTTCTTTCCGAGATGTGACTTCCTCGCTTCGATGAAAGTTTTTTCAGCCAGCGAAGTACACGTGTTCCCTTTTGTGGACTGCTCTTTACGGAAAGGGGATGTGTGCTTACTACTAGCTTCTGGGAAGCAAGATAAACTACTCGTGGAAGAATTTTACATTACTTCTACGATCAAACACCTATCATGAAAAAGGTAGAAGGAATGAGTTTCTCACCTTTGTTGCAGTGGAGTTGTGTGTCTCGGAGGAATTCCGGAAAGTCACATTTTTTCGAAAGTTTTTGTTTGATTGGTGCCATACTACTGAATTCAATTGCATTGCTTCAGCACTGGGTTGTCCTAGTTTGCGCATGGCTCCTTTTCAAATGTGAAAGGTACCGGGTTCGCTCTAGATTCATCAGTGTCAGTAGTATTCTGACTGTTGTCAATAATGCAAAGTCACAACGCATCAGACGAGAATCAACTGCACCAGGGAAACAAAACTTCAAGGACACACAAATGCTGTGTGAATACCTTGTGAACTACTTGAGGTAGTATTAAACATTACGAAAGCGTATGTTATCCAACCCGGATAGAATCTGAATTGAAAGATTAAGCTGAAAACGCAGTTTTGTCGGAATCAGATGTTCCACACAAAGCTGTAACAGCTTACCCTTTTTCGCACCAAATGCAGTGGAGGGATCACCAGTCTTTATGAACCTATGTAGCTGTACAGCAGTGTAGCGCATAATATATTGTTGTTTACTCTGTTTTTTTTGTCTAACCTGCTTCACAGAGTGTGGAACTGACTGCTTCGGGAAAAGTTACTGACAGCCCGGAAGTGAACGGACGCTATTCCATTTCGATCATCCAAGACCCATTGATATTTCGTTATGGAGACGCAGTGAGAGTTCGCTGTGTGGTGACACCTGAACCCCCGTTTGCTCAATTCGAATGGATGAAAGATGGTCAAATCATTGGACGTCAAAGTGAACTTTTCATACCAGATTTCACGCCATACGATGTGGGACGTTATCTTTGTAAGGCACAAATTGCAGGCACGGATATCTCTTCGAATGCTACAATAAGACCAGATCTCCAGCCAAGTATGTCTCCGTTTAGCTAACCTCATTTGGTAAAACTGCGTCTCCTGCTGACAGATTCAAATGTTTTTGGGTTAAATAAATTGTAAAATGTTTCACGGCAAACAGACAAATCATCAGATTCATTGAGAAAAACGTGTTACCAACCGCTGCTAATGCCACCTGCACGTATTGTTTCTGCATTGTGCATGCATGTCACCTGGGTGACGTGCACTCATTAATATCGGTAATGTTTTGAAAAACGATATTACCCGACCAAAGTGGAATCAGTTATCCAGAGCCCATATGTCGCTCGTTTGCATGAATTTGTCTACCAACATTTGTGAAAGTTCATCAGGCAAGTGGTCTATTGAGGCCAGCAGAAGAAGAACAAATTTTGTACTATTGGATATTCGGCCTCTCAAAAAGTCAGAAGCTGAGAAGGGTATTCCGTCAATCTACCAGTAACATGACAACTTGATTTGGGGCAGATATTCTTTTCTGGTAAGCACCGGAACGGTTTGCTTTGATGATAGGGTGGGAATGACAGAGTAGACTGGGAATACAACGGCTGCAGGATTTTAACGGTTCGTCTCTTTCTCTTCAGCGGCAGTACTTTTTATTCGCCTTTGCATGAGACTATAGAATAGTTCGCCGGCCACCAAATTCCCACATGTACCCCTTAGTATACTTGAGAGACCTGACTCGCCGATATACTGAAAACATATGCTTTGAATTTTGAAAAATCAAATTGATGGAGTAGCAATGGATAGTCCATCTGGAATTAACTAGCAGATCTTTTTAGGCATGATTAATGGACGGCTTTCTGATCTGGTCTCCAAGACTATACTTGGTAAACGTTTTGAATGCATGAACGATATACAGGCTTTCAGTGTTCTTCGAGGCAGAAACTAGTGACAGTCTTGGGGTTTTTTGGATATTCTTATTGCCAGGCACCCAGGTGAGCACTTGTAGGCCTTCGGTGTACTGCAAGGTCATGCGGACTGGGCAATTTCCATAAATTTCCACCTTCACCCTTTTATTCTGCAAAGGAAGATTCCCATGAAGTTGGTCCAACTTCATCAGACCTAATTGCTGACTCCATTCGTCGAGAGCGGGTCTTAGAAACAACGCTGGTTCCCAACGGTTTTCCAGGGAAATTAATCAACTTCCACCGCACGCCACTGCCCAGTTGGGAGTCTGATTACTCAGTAAAAAGTTATAGACGCCGAATGAATTTCATTCCCGTCTGGCTTTGAAATTATAAACAAGGGACGCTTGTTTCTCCCAATAGAAGCTGAAAGGCATGAGCACCGTTATAGTTCCGACTCTGTCGTTCACACGATCATGAGAGTCCGAAAACAGTAGCCTGGAACCATCCCACGTCATCGGCTTAACTGTTTGGTGTCAACTAACGGGATCAACCCGACTATAGCCTGAACTGCCGGTGTGACGGTGTATACTACTGATGAGTTATGCCAGTAGTCCATGGTTTTGCGTCCAAGCTCCGTCACCACATCTGATGGAAAGTGAACGTTACTGCATAAATTGTGGAACCAATTTGAGTGTTCCTGCATTGTTCCTTAATATCCTCTGAACGTCCAGGAAAGTTCAAGAGAATGCTTGAGAATGTTCCCTTTTCAATAGCTCGGTGCGGATGCAATATTTACTTCCGTGTCCAGTGTGTGCTGGTAACTTCGCAGCAAGAAGATTACTTCATTTGCCAGAACTCCCCTCGAGCTCTAAACGTTCTCTAGCTCATACCTAACTGTCCGAAATTCATTTCATTCTGTTCTCGCTACAGCGCGCCCAGACGATGTTATGGACCGTCCTGAAGTGATTCACAGCCCTGTGTTCGTTCCGTTTCAAATCGAGTGTCAATCGCCGCTTCCTGGAACTTCACCGGTCGCTGAATTTGCTCCCGGTGTACATGTTGAGTCGGACAATCGTTTTCAAGTCATTCAACCGGATTCCACGAGACTCATTATCACTGCTCCACAGGGTCTATCCGACGTGTATAATGGATATCGTATAATGTAAGTTGTTATTTCAGTATAGGCTGAAGTATATGAACGCTATCTGGGAATGCATGGTAACATGGCATGTAGATCGACCCCCAGAGTTGCGAACACTTCGGTACTATGAAAATCCTTCCAGTAATTAAAAAAGGCATTCTCATTCTTTCTCCAGTCTCCATGCATATATTTCCCATCTTTGCACATGGGGCATTTTGGTGAAAGTTTAAACTGCAAACCTCCAGCCTCCCCTAAGTGGACAAACTAGAAACGCCAAATCTTTCCATCCACACTACAGACTCCATCCATAACGCTTTAATGTTGACCGCATTCAGCAGCGAAAGGTAGAAAGCCCTACCTAAATGACGTCGGCTGCATATCGGTTCTGGTTCAATTCAGCCATCATTACGATTCCCCGGGAGTCATATCCTAAAATTCATTGTTTTAAAGGAGATGTCGACACTTATTTGTTGTGACCTAGTCAGCAACCATTTAGAGCCTTTCTCAAATGTGGGACATCTCTTGTCTTGTCATGATCACTCAAGATCGATGCTGAACAAGTAAACAACAGGCAGGAATTTCGCTCCTATTAGGGAACTTCAGCAGCGCATATCCCATCTGAATTAGAATTCCAGGTGTATAACATGAGAGGTGAGCACGATGATACCGCTCTCTCATCAGCTAGTGATAACTTTTGTCGCGCGCGCTCCAGAGCAAAAATGGGACGACGGATTGTTGAATCGAATCCGGTGTGCGTCAGAAACCCGAAACTCGGGCCTAAGTGTCCCAGCGGTTCCTGTTATGGGCCTGGATGTGAGTCTGCGTGTTGCTGAGGGCAAAGGTCACACAACAAACAATAGTCTGGGCTTCGAGAAATACACTCATTTGCAAATCAATTTAGTTTTCACGAGAGACGCAACTGAATCTCTCGTTTCTCGATTCTACAACTGAATGTGCTGCACACAGACCGCGTCATGATTCAGTTGGCACTATATTCGAGATATCGCAGTATATTTTCATGGAGAAAACTACTCACAAGATTGCTGAAAACTCCTCGACAGCCCACGACAGGTTTCACCCTTCTTGGGTCTCATCAGGTAGGCGCAGTTCACGAGAAGAATATCATAAACGAGAGATTCGGTTGAGACTCTCGTAAAAACCGAACTTATTCGCAAATGAGTGTATTTCTCGAAAACAGTCCAATTTGGGTTCAAGTAGAACATAAATTTGACGGAAACTCGGGAGCTGTGCCCGCCTGATGAGCCTCAAGAAGGGCGAAACCGGTCGTCGACGAATTTTCAGCAACCTTGTGAGTAGTTACCTTTACGAATCTGGTGAGCTTCACGAAACGCGAAACTCGGGCCTAAGTGTCCCAACAGGTTCCCTCTCTGGCCAAAAAACCGTGTATAGAATCAGAGGTGACGAAAGTGTGCCAGTTTTGGGCCTGGGTGGGAAATTCTGCGTGTTGGTGAGGTCAAAGGTCACACAACAGAATCATTCGTCTCAGTTGTTTGGGAGATATAGTATGGCGTGTGCTACTTTCGGACGACATACGAGAAATGGGGCAGCTCAGCTGGAGAGACTGGACTAATTTCTTCCGTGCCTAAAGTTGAGGTAAAACGAGTTCAGTGGCAGTGGCTTGGACAGTCACAAGATTACGTAATCTTATTAGTGCACAGATAATGATAGCCATAATACAACTCAGAAGGTATATGCACTAATAAGAGTCTTTACTGTGGTTGACAGTAGTTCGTAGAAGCGGTTTGCAGCATGTATAAAATAAAGAGCAATACAAAATGTGGAGCAAGTCAACAGGCATCGCAAGAAACAGCGCCTGATCGATGCCAACGGCGTCCTTTGGCAATTTCTTTTCAGCCTATCTGACTGGGCGCTTGAAGGTGTAAGGGCCTCAGAATGCTTGCGACCGTCCGGCTCAAAGTTCTCTCACTTTCACTTGGTGACTTTAGGTATAGTTAGTATAATTGGATAAACTTGGTGGTTGTACGGAGAGCCATCAGTGTTGACACTGACGTTGCCGTCACCGATGCTGAGCGCTTGTCTACCTGGATCAAAGCTTAAGCAGACCGTCCCAACCAGCCGTAGGGTGACAGTGGTTCCCGTGTCCAAAAAGTGTGGTAATCACGGGGTATACACTAAATCGCCTTCTGCGCGCCTGCGAGTCTGTGCGTGCTGAATGCGTTGTCTCTTCCTATATATAGGGAAGTTTGAAGTGTGTATAAAGCATGAATCGTTCCGATGCGTACAAGACAGGAGCCGAATTGTTGTCGGTCAAGGTTGCGGGCGGAACGACGTTTGTCACGTGGTTTGTTTACTTGTGTAGCGGATAAGTCGCGTGATCTAGTGAGCACGCATGTAATAGACAAATTAGGTGAAGCTGGTTGAGGGGACATGGGAGTGTCCGCTACAATCTCACCGATTTCGACCGATTCTGTGACATCTGGTACACGATCCAAAGTTTGTGAAAACTAATCAGAAAAGAGGAGCGACTCTTCTAACGAGTATTACCGCCCAAAATTGAAGAAGGTTATTCCAGTGGAACAGAAATGTCATCATTTGCAACATTGAGTGCAAAACACGATAGAATAGTCACTGTCACATGACTGATTCAATGCGACGTTTGCAGAAAATGAATTGGGCAAGAAGTGAACTTTATGGTAAGAGGAACGATCAATTTTTCAGTGGTCTTCGTGCCTGAATAGCGGATCGGCATGAGCTCAACCGGAACAAATCTCACATACTGACCCGGACAGAAGCCGAGGAAGAATGCGAACACACGAAAGAGTTCCATTTCAACAAACGTGTAAAATGCAGCCCAGACTACCAACTGCAAAAGAAATTCGGGTTTACCCAGTTCGAAATTGCACCCACCATCCAACAGACTACTGAAAATGTCAGCGAGATTGATGGTTAAACGTTGGCGAACCAATTTACGAGTTTGGCGAACGGGTGAACATCTAGTAAGTGTGGTGAGATACCATCTTCACTGACAGATCACTATTTCGTTCGTAACGAGACATTCTGTCTCTCAGCCAGACCGCTTCTATCCCTCGTTCAAACGACTGCAAGCAACAACGAATTCAAACATGATGTTGGATGGAAAATATCAGTCAAGTGTAGCACACGCGTAAATTTCAGCATGATATAAGCAAATGCCTAATATAACTTAAAACGTGTCACACCGATGCTGTGATGATCAACTGTCATCAAATTGAAGAATCCGAGGCGACTGAATGAGTTACATTTTGATGCGAATATATGTTTGGTGACTGATGCATACTAGTTAGGAAGAAGGCATTCACTGTAGAGTTATTTATTAGAAAACGCCAACTGAACGGTTAGACTATTGGACGGGGAAGCAAAATTCTCATATGCATCTTGTTTACAAAAACTAAATATCCACCTTCCGCTTGAACGGGTCTTCCTGAACTTTCCTGGATATTCGTTGGCTGTTGCTCAAATCCAAGCAAATGCTACAAAGTGACTCCACAAATTCCGCAACAGATCTCCCTTTTCAAGATACGCAAAGCGAATTTACAAAAAGAAAACATACTACTCGCATGCCTCCTCCAACAGAAGTATCACCGCTACACTAGTGTCCTTGGCTGGACGTTGCGCTTTGAAAACTCAGTGCAGGAGTTTCATGTGATGCGCGAAGCTGATGATTGCCAAACAGCTGGTAATGTGTTGAAATATTGGTAACTCGGGTGAGTTTATTGGTTGTTGATCAGGTGGCTGTTTATCTGTTCGCCGAGCTTGACAATTGGCTTGCAAACGCTTCGTCGCCACACGAGGAGACATCATCTGTGCGCATCATCGTCAACTGCGCAATGATGATGTCTCCCCATATGGTGACGAAACGTTTGCAAGCCCATTGCCAACTGGGCGAACAGATCAACAGCCACCTGATCGACAACCAATGCTAAACAGCTGTACGGTGCTTCTTGACCTTTAAGCATAGGCTGGCTTCAATGACGGGACAAATTATCGGGTGAACACTTAGGGATACTAGACTGTATAAGTGGCTACCTGTCGGAACAACCAAGATCGACGCAAACTCAATGTGTCCACACTAAATGTTCGTGCATAGCTCCTCCCCCAAATATTCGCCTCTAGGATTACTGTATGACATCTATTAAACATGCAGCTTGTTCCGTGTCCACAGAAAAAAAACTTAGATTTCCCATCTCCCTATTTTGTAGGTGCCGCGTACCAGGTGTTTCGACCAAATACATCACGATCTACTTGACTCACTCATGTGGACCCGCTCAGTCGCAGTGTCGGTCAGGTGAATGTATTCCCACTGAACGTGTGTGCAACGGTGTACCTGACTGTACGGACAACTCGGATGAGGGACCCGAGTTTTGCAGTACGTTTCAGAATTTCTTCCATATATCTGGACGACGCCTTGCGATCAATCGATTTTTTATGGTTCGGTTTGTATCCAGTCTAGAAATTGACTCCTATTGGATTTTTTAAGCGTAAATCTTCAATGCCTGTCAAATTCTCACCCTCAATCATTCAGATGCTGGAGTGGTAGTCTTCCCAACAAATATCGTTGTGCGCCCAATGGAACCCTTTTCAATTCACTGTCGATCGACTTTACCGGGTTTGGCGCCCAAATTTGATGCTCATAGTAAACCAGATCCGGTTCTGATTGGACGTCTCAAATTCTATCGACCCAACAGCACCACGCTGACGATCAATGCCTTCCGAGGTCTTCCTGAAAGTCTGAATGGATCACAAATAAGGTACGTGGATTTGATTTCATTATACGAATTGCGTTAGTTCTGATTAATGCATGCGTGTTCGTGATACCCCAATGGAGTCCAAAATATGTCTGGAATTAGATTTAGCAGAAGGTTATTTCATGAAACGAAGTTTCTGCTAACAAGTGAAGATTCCTTTTAATATAGCATGCCGTCCGGTTTCTCCACTGTCACGACCAATTGCTCACTAAAACCGGTGCGCTACTACACTACACGGTACAACCACGTTAGGAGTAACTCGGTGGATGAGAATGATGGCGGTGTTAAACCGCGATTCGAAGCACTGCTGACTGTCACAGGCTACCTGCTTTTCACAAAACCCGAGGAAAATCAGATGCAACCACAAAATGTTACGCAAAATGCTTGGTTAGGCGTAAGGTAGTATTACTTCTATTTCCGCATAAGAAGACTCGACTTTACCGTTGTCTATTTTTTCGTTCAGCTAACAAACAGAAACAAACGTGATTAGTGCTCTTGCTGTGCACAAGCGAACACCCGAACTGGTAGAAATTAGCTTGCATTCTGGAAAGAGGGATTCGATTTTATCACTTTCATGTGTATACGCATTGTAAACTAATGATAATTTCGACACCGATAACAACTTGACATATCTTCCCTAGTCTACGTGTCTGTAAGTCCTCTCGGTATTAGCAAATATTTGTCTGAGGAAGTGAACTCCTCCAGGTTTGGTATCGATCGACTGCACTGTATGACGGCTGGTCGATAGGTATCGTTTCGTTTGAACGGTCGCCTCTTGTTCTGCCGGCGAGTCCACGCCAAAGAACTCGAGTTTCGCTCTTATTAGAGCCCAGCAGCGGTGCATATCCAATGGCCGTGCCGGGACTCGAACCTCGGACATGCGACATGCGAGGCGAGCGTGTAACCACTGCTCCACCAACGCACGTTGGACGTATTTGAATTTTCATGTATGAACAGGTGAACGTGTTCACACTTAAGCGATGTGATTGGTGTGCCCGACTCATTGAATAGCGACCTAGTAACAGTCCTGGTTGTGACGATCGATTGATCGTTTCGACATCAGGACTTTGTTACTTCTTTCCTCAGTTATCTTTTTAAGCGTTTTTCAGTCTTTTTGAAAAGCGGTAGGTTAGGATGGCCATTTCTCCCAGTTATTCATAAACAAAATGTACTTACTAGTGAGCGTCTTTTGCATGTATTCTCCCACTGTGGCACTGGTAGACGGGACCTTCGGCCACCGTCTACCAGTACCACACTTTACTGTGATTCCTTATGTGAATTGATCCCTTCTAGTCTCTGATTAGCCTCGTCATCATGATGTGGATGACAAAATTCTTCGGGAAACTTGAACAAGGTAGAGACACGACGATCTAACCAGTTATGCTTGAGGAAGCACTTCCCGAACAGCGGATTATTTATAAAGAATTGTACTTATCCATTCTTGCAGGAGCGAACCAGGCGAATCAAATTTTCTATAAGCTTTTCAAGCAGTATCACTGTGTTGTCCTGAATCAAGGATGAAATGGGATCGGACAACTCTAAGATGGAAGACGTTGCTCCAGCGATAGAAATCAGTGGTCTTTTCATATGTGCGTAGGCGTTGATCATGAAAGTAAATGTAAATTTATATGCAACAGAAGACCGACCAAACTAAATGGAAGTGACAAGCAGGCAAGACTTGCTGACGGACAGCAGTTTAGCCATCAGCATGCTGAAGGAATGCGCTCTCAGTTGGTCAGAAATTTCGGTATGCCAATGCTCCGGTTTCTCATTAAACTGTCCTGGGTTCTGGATATCCCTCTGAAGAGAAAGCTTCCATTGCGATTTCATCCCGAAGAAATTTGTGTACTTTACCTATCGTCTGCTTTATCGATTGGGCAAAAGTAATGGCAACTGAAGAAGCGGGAGAGCAGGGTTTGGACTTGAAAAGAATGGATTAGATGGATGAATGGAACTAGAACACCATTTCTCAATAAAGTGCAAATCCCCGCCTTCATAGCACTTTCTACTTGGAGTTGATTTTCTGGTTTCCCTGCTGGTCCGAGTTGATTTTACAACAGCCAGTTTGTGAAATAGATCCCAGATTTGGCTCCAAGTTAGTTGACCATCTATCCTCAAAAGTAACATCACCTCTGGATGGTCAGACACGTATCTGCGTTTATCCGGCATTCGCTTGCTGAACAGTGACCCTCTGAGTAAACGGAGTTTTTTTTAGATTTTGCCTGTTTCGATTTTAGTACCCCATCGGCCTTGTTACCAACTTTCACAGCCTGCATTTGGTTACATAAGCACACTCTTTTCGTCATCCTGAAACCCATGTTGCGAATAAGTGCACCTTGTATCGAAGTATCACATCCTGAATAGCAGTCATTCACGGTTAGCTTGTAATGTGACCCTCATGGAGGCCTGAACACACATATTTCCGACCAGCAAACCGGAGCAACGCGGACAAATTACATCGAGGATGATGGGGCACACTCCGCTATTCGACTTCCAATTTGAGACGAAATCCTTATATGAATTTTTAAAACCTGTTCAGAACCCACAAATCAAGCACCAATGTTTTAGTGGGGGTACTATTGGACATCTTCGCAATGTTTGTACAGAATCGATTCGGTTGGGCACCGAGTATGGATACTAAACCAAAGATGTTTGATAAACTTCTCTTGCCTGTGATCTGACGTAGACGTATAACGGAACAATATATTGCCTGTTTGTTACTTATTTTATACAACAACGGCGTCAAGATTTGTGAATATTTCCGAGATTGGAAAATTCTGCTTTGTGTCTGGCCTTCAGTCCAAGTACGCCAAAATCGCCCTGAAAAATAAGTACGGAGAAATTTCCAGAGAAAGCCAGAGGTGGTCACGCCGTTTTTTTGCAGTGTCCTTCAAAATCCGATCGTTTTCTTTGATCTTCGCCTTCGAATGTTAGTAGAAAGCTGTAGAATTTCCAACAAAGGAGAAAATTAAGCTCACACCGGAACTTTCAGAGGCTAGAAAATGCCTGATAGAGTATGCCTACACACTTGTTTTGAGAAGTACACTGAACTTGTTAAACACGTGGGGGGTTTTAATGCAAAACGAGCGTGTTGAAGTTTAAAGCTATCCTAATCGGAAAACTGCATTTCCTTCAAGAGGTTGAGTTTACGAGGAGGTAGCACGGTGGAAAATATAACAGCAGGACAAAAACCTGGTCTTAGAAGGTGATGCACTAATACACCACATGTACCGTAGCTAAATTCCAGCTTCAAAAACAGCGAACCAATCGTGGCACGCTTTTCAAAATAAACTCAATTCAGTCATTTTCTAGTGGGTGGAAAATGTTGACCACCGCAAATAGGCACCCGTTGCAAACGGTTTTTGCAATTCCTGAGGAGACAACTCAACCAAAAGCGCCTTGACAGCTCACTGTCGGTCTGCCCCTCCTTGGGGCTTATCAGGTAGCCGCATTCCCCTAGTTCTCGTCAACCTTATGTTTCATTTGAAATCAACCGTATCAAGTCACTCAGCAGAGCCAATGAGACAAAATCACGAAGTAGTTGTCCAATTAAAATTCAGCTGACTTCACCGTTCACACCAAATTGGTTTCCAAATCAGAGAATTCTGCCAGGTTGCAGTTCCACAACATCTGTGTAGGCAAAATTCGGAAGAGGTGAGTGGAAACAGTGCGCTTCAGTACCTACTGAAGGACCCAGATTGGAAATCCGTCCTTTGTTTTCTATTATGTCCCATTTCTACCGCTTGTGTAACGGAAAATTCAGTTTACGCACCGGATGTCATCACAAACAGTGGAACATGAGTTTCCGAAAAAGGATATTACTCTCCGGTCGAACGCGGACAAATGTATCAGTAACCATGGCAGTTTTTGTTGGTTTAACCATGCCAGTCTTTGTGGTCTTCGTTTCGTAATTGACGCTCAAGATATTACTCATGTGGGCTTAAAATTGGGTTTGTTTGTAGGTGTTACCGCAGTCGTGATGCCACGAAACCTAATTCCGGGGGAGACTGAATTTACAACTGTCCTAACCTTCCATAGAAATTATACATTATCGTCTCAGGGTTAAGCTCAAGAACTCGAGTGATACTGGGCAGTGCAATACGTTTGTTCGCGCTACCCATACCGACTGGCCTTACACAAACACGTGTGTCTCCGTCGACCAGAGAATGAGGTTTTGCTCACACATGTATGAGTTGTGAACCAGTATGATCCAACGTCTTTTGGGCTCGTCTGTTACTGTATGTGTGACCAACCAGGTATTGGTTCATTCACCACAGCAGCTACCAAGGCAGAGTGAATCAGAACTGAATGAATTCCACTCAGCTCAGTACAACCACTGCGGTCATTTACGATAACGTACAAGTATGGGCAAATATTTGGGATGCTTTTTCAAAATGTAGGCAGATAGGTAATCTCAAAAATCTGTGAGCCTTCTGATTACTGAACATTGCTTGAAATCCTGACTCCGAGACGAAAAAATCCTCTGCCTGCATTGCCAACACTTGCAGATGACGAATTGATCTTATCGCCGGCCCAAAAATTGGACAGAAACGGATGAATAAGATTCTGTCGTGCAATTAGTTTGAGAGTTGATCAACTTGCCCAAAACGGAATTTGGATAGTTTCCAGGAAAGATAACGCCTCACTGTGATACCACATTGTTCCACGTGTTTACTACAAAGTGAGCGATACTTTCACTGCCTACGAAATCACTCAAAGTTTTCTTATGCAAACGAATGATTGTGGCCACCTCAAAGACATTGGCACGCAGACCTAAAAGGCCTAAAACGCTAGCTACTTGTACTTTTACCTGAAGTGAACCCCGCACACTGACTCTGCTTCAACCAACTGCTTTATCATCTAACTATTGAGACTGTCGTAACTCAGTCATTCATTTTGATTTGTCATATGTGTTTCAGTCGGAACCCGTCAAAACGGAACTTTCGGCAACAACACGCCGACCTTCATTTCTCTGTTTACAATGAGCGAATCCATTGTATATGAATGATTTTCGATGCTATATAGTTTGTGTTTCATGCTGAACAAACTTGCCGGTGACCTGTTTTCATTGTCGATCTCGTAACGCTTCGATTCGCTTCCGTCACGTTCCTCGTAGTCATGAGCCGGAATAGCCAGTAGCTTTGAATCAAAGCCATCCTTTGCCACACCGACAACTGCGCAATTGCTGTGTGTACAGATATGGTTAGCCCTTGTGCATTCATGAGGTCATAGCTTCACGACATTTTTCGTGTTTCCTACGGCTTTTTGTCAACAATGAGGGACCTTGCTGATGAAAAAAACACATTCTCCCTCATGGACGTCGTACAACCCGTGTCACTTCGGTGCAAACTCCCTAGTTTAACCCAAACGTTGCGCTCATTCGTCGGCATATCGAGTGAACATGATCTGCTTGCACCGTCTCTGTGTGAGCGACTGCCATACCGCTCTTTCACAGAACTGATTCAGCACTGTACAGCCAATGGAATGCGAATTCTCTAAGACTTCGCCTACAGTGTTCAGGAAAGATATCCTTGTTGGTAACGTGCTTCGTTGGTACCTGCTCCCTTTTGCCACTACAGGCGCACACGGAACGACCGACCGGCGGAGCACAGGGATAGGAAACGAGATCTGGTTAACTTAACAACACATAGCATACGATCATCATCCTCGACCGATCCGGCAAGACCGTTAGTGGGACAGGGAAATCAGGCCGTTATTTTTGGCGATAAATCTATCTCAGGCACGAAACTTTAAGCGCATAGCAGGAACTCGAGTCCGAACGAGCCTGCGGAAGAACATTGATTGTGAATGGCACTCCCGGAGAAACTCTGTAGATGCAGTCGTATTGGCAGTAAAGCTGATTCCCACCTTGTTGGAAAATTTTGATAAGTCTGTGAAAGATTAAATCATTGATCTCCAAAATATACCGAGTTAAAAGTGTGTTCATGTTTTGTACTACACTACTCATAAGGTTGCTGAAAATTCTTCATATTGCTGTAATCAAAGAAAGAGTTGACCAAAAACATATATTCTGTATGTTCCTGTTACGAATGATAGTTTCCGTGATGCGCGCTTCGGAGAGTAGGTTAGACGATAAACCTCCAGACGTCCTTTGGCATATCGCATTTAAGGCAACGAACTGTCCGCTATTGATCGAACCATGTGTTTTCTTCAGAGACCCCAGCCCCTCAATAAGTGCGCCAGGGCAACAAGTCTGTTCAAATTCAAGCAAAGTTGCAGTAAACAGTAGGACTACTCACGGACTCGTAAGATCTTGAAAAGTGAGACGAGAGTCTGAGTACTGACCGATTGGGTTGCTCTTTTTCTCATTGTTTGCGGTATTCATTTTGGCTCTCGACCGTAAACACCAGATTCAAAATAATTCCCCTTTCCGAGTTGAGTAAAGTGGCTTGAGCGCGAACCTACTGACCGGAAGTTACATGATTCGAACCCGGCCTCTGCATCTCGACTTTTCCTGCCTAGGCTTAGGCAACCTGGCAGTATCCCAGTCCTCGTGCTCCCTTCGGGTGGCATCGCAGTTGAGCACCGAAAGGGCGCCACATCCGAACGATTTCTTTATTTTCCCAATACCATCCTCATCGTGAAGTTCACTTTTCTTTCTGACACCAGGGCCACTTCAGGACCGATCACAGTCGCACTCTGTCTTGATAGCCTGTGTTTTGGACCGTGCCTTGTCAACATTTTATGTGCAACTAAAAAGACAAAAATACAACACTTGCCACAAATCTTGACAAATTGGGAACTTGCCTAGTGAGCTTGAGTGGACACGCTTCAAGATCCCTCAGATTTGCATTGGTTCCAATAAGTGCTTTTATTCGCATGAGTTTGAGAAGGGCCTCGATTTGCGGTTCTTCATAATGTAATGAAAATTTTTTTATTCTATCCAGCTTCATAGATAGGCAAGGTGTTTGCAACCCAGAGATATTGGTGGATCAGGGGCTTACATTCAAATGCCTTTGCTAGCACGTGGAAGGTTAAGGAAAGATTTGTCATGAAAGTCCTTAAACAGTAAGTAAGCAAATAGTACGTCTCCAATCAGAAGAAAACTGGCCACACAAAGTTACCTTGGCTTTCTTGATAAGATACGACATTTTAATGCCCAAAAGCATGTGTTTCCGGAAAGATAGGTCTCTATGAGGGGTCCTCATCACATTACTGTTCAAAGCGGACCCGATTCATGCACGAAGGCAGTGACGCTTGAATCGACCCTGTGCTTCCAACCATGCGACTTTAGTGATGCTCCACAAAAAAACGAATACTAAAAGAAACCAACCCCTTGGTTATGTGACGCTGCGGGTACCCTTTATCAGTGCACAATGGAGAGTCGGTTGTAACAAAGGACTTCTCATCACGACCCCCAAAAAATTAGCAAGTGTTATTTTGAAGCTTCAGTCTAGCGCAATCGCTCGTCACTCTGTGGGTTGCAACCAGTGCAAAAACTCAAATGAGTTATTTAAATTCATAAATTACCAGAAAATCAGCCGCCTATTATGCTTTACTGGAGTGGCGGTCATCCGAAAATGTGACTTTAACTTGTGTAAATAGTTGGAGCTTGTGGCTAACCATAACTTGTCTTGGTAATACCAGAATCCTAGCTTCATTAATTTTACCCAATCTGATCTCCGGGTTGATGGGATTTTATTGGTCTTCCAAAATTATCTGTCCGCTATCCTGTCCCAAAACTTGACTCTGGAAGGAAGTACACATTTGGTCTTGTAAGCTACATGGCTGAACTCAAACTAACCTGTTCGTGTTCTTTTTACATTTCTATTCCAGTAAATTAGTAAGTGGGGGGAGGCAGACTCCCTATTTCTGAACTCGATATCTTACATATTTGCTTGATATCCAGCACAATTATTGGGCTCCTGACCTCTCCTTGGTTGTCGCCTTTCGGAGAGATCGCGTCCTAAACTATGGCTGACACGGCAAGCTACAGAATGCTCACTGGTCAAACAATCTCTCTTCGAATTAATTCCTTTTCAGGGATCCTGCTGCCGTTCCACATCTTACATTTTCCATTGACATGATGAAATTTGTTTTAACTTGTCTTATTATGCCACTAACATAGTTCGTTAGCACGCCACTGTGCTAAAAAATCGATCAACCCCATTCATTTGAAAATCACTGCAAGAAACCACGTGACGAGTAGTTTATTGATTTTTCAATCTGATTCTCCCAACCGTTAAGATGTTTTGCAATCGACGGGGCATTCCGTGCCGCAAGAATTGTCCTCCGAAGCGGCGCATGCTCTGATGGCTGGCTTCCATGTCCATTTTCTGAAGTATGTTTGCAACCAGGAAATGTGTGCAACGGTAGTCCCGACTGTCCGGACGGTGCTGATGAACGTGGATGTGAAGGTAGGTGAATCTGTGCACCGCAAATAGACAAATTGGAACAGAATATTTTGTGAGTCTGCTAAAGAAGCTTTCCCTCAATAAGCCATCGTTTTGTACGTATTTATCTACCATTGTTCATCAAAGTTTTGGCCATCAAAACTTCGCAAAGTAATCATCCCACGAATGACTTTCAGAGGCTACTCACAAGGTTGCTGAAAACTCTTCGACCTTGTGAGTAGTTTCCTTTATGAAAATATACTGCGATATCTCGAATATCGTGCCGACTGAATCATGAGGCGGCCTGTGTGCAGCACATTCAGCTGGAGGACATCATAAACGAGAGATTCAATTGAGTCTCCCGTGAAAACCAAATTGATTTGCAAATTAGTGTATTTCTCGACTTTCACAAGCCCTCCCGTGAAAACCAAATTGATTTGCAAATTAGTGTATTTCTCGACTTGCAGAGGCTTTCAGGCTGTTTGTAAGTGACATTTGGTACAGAGTTCTACCTGTCTGTCGCAAACGCCTCTAGCCAAGGGTGATCGTCCATGCGTCTCTGGGGACCTGTGAACTTCAGTCGATCAACTCTTCGAAATGACTGTGTCCATCTGTCCATAATTCTGTTGGTATTGTACCTTATACGCCTAACGTTTGCGTAATAGGATATCGTGTTTTGAGTGAGGTGTACAGTGATCCGAAGGCCCAAATATTTGGGTTCAGGCCTACCAGTTCCAGCCTCTCATCACTGACAAGATGGAAAGAGACGAATATTAGTTCCTGCTTAGTATTTGATGAGACTCCCTCTATTACTGCTTGTCTGCTTGGTTTCAAACCTCTCAAAGATCGATTAATTATTCGAAAGACTATAATCGCCGTAAAAACATTAGAAAATGAACCATAGAGTTATTTAATCATATTTCATTATTCTCGAATGTTACGCGGCTTTTTATATCAGTGAACTCGATAAAACCTTTTTAAAAATTACTCATCTCTGCACCAGTACTCCTTTTTTGGCCATTGAGGAAATTGTTTACGAATGTAAATGTGATCAATATCACTCGATGTGTATCGTCCCTATTTTTCGACTTTTTTGGAAAAAATGTCCATTAATGTCTAGGTGACGTGAAATACACTCATTTGCAAATCAATTAAGTTTTCACGAGAGACTCAACTGAATTTCTCGTTTATGATACTCTACAACTGAATGTGCTGCACACAGGCCACCTCATGTTTCATTTGGCACGATATTCGAGATATTGCAGTATATTTTCATAGAGGAAGTCACTCACAAGGTTGGTGAAAACTCTTCGACACCCCACGGTCGTTTTCGTCCTTCTTGGGGCTCACCAGGTAGGCGCAGTCCACGAGTTTCTGTCAAACTTATGTTCTAACTGAACCCAAATTGGACCGTTTTCGAGGAATATATACTCATTGAGGAAATCGTTTACGAATAAAATATGATCAACATCACTCGACTTTGTTGGAAAAAATGTCCGTATCTAAGTGATGTGTTTTCTGTAATGGATGCATGAGCGCGGCTATATCCGGTCTAAGTGAGAACCAGTCACGTCGCTGGCCAGTCACTCGTCGCCAAATGGTTAAGTATTCAACCAATGACCGTCCCGGGTTCGAAACTCTCTGGGTATGGTGAGATGCGCACTGCTGATGAGTTCCAGTAGAGACGAGAGAATCGCACATTACTTCTCGACATTTCGGCATAGAATGACCTCAGTGACAGGGCTGAAATTCGCCCATTCGCAAAACACGCGTCCCTGTGGCCAGGTTCCATCTTCAAGGCAAGAAGTAACATGCACATCTACTTCACGACCGCTGGATTAGAAAGGCAACCTCATCCTTCAAATCCACCGGAAATGACCCAGATTCCGACATGTTTGGATAAAATCCCCATCCCATATGAGCTTGTAACATGATTGTGGTACAACTGAAAGGATGAAGGCCTTCGCTGTGGAGTTATTTATTAGAAAATGGCAACTGACAGAAGCAAAACTCTCATTTGCATCTAATTTACAATAACTGAAAGTTCATCTTCTTTTAAACGCGTCTTCTTGACCTCTCCTGGCTATTCATTGACTGTTACTCAAATCCAAGCAATAGATCTCTCTCTTCCAAGAGACGCAAAGCGAATTTACAAAAAGAAACTATACTACTCGCATGCCTCCCATAAGTAATATGACCGTTACACAATGATTCATTTCTGCATTGGCACCTCGATAGACAAAACGCGCCGGCTGAATTACTTTTCTTCATATAGTCCTTTATTTTGCTAAGAATTTTTTTCATAGTCTAGAGAGTGCAGCAGCGACTAAAAAATGAATAAAACCAATTATGAAATTTTTTCTCACTCAGGTTTGTGGGTGCCAGTGAAACAAAAAAACTTGCGAAGCACTTTCCGACACTAAACAGACCGCATTTTTCCGCTACTTTGGAGATTTGGAATGGAATGGATGGCTCTTATTATCAGGCTGATCGAAGTGTTACAATCTCATGAGTCTCACACGCACTTTACGTATGTTAACAGCTGCCAAACGTACCAAGTGCACTTTAGAATGAGGAAATCTCGCCAGTTAACAACCAGGAGTGGCGTGCCGGATGTTGCATTCCTCCGCAACAGTGTCTGCAAATGGAGAAAGTGAATGCCATTGAAACATTAATTTCGAATGTATCAAGATAACCAAGTGCATCGGTGGACCGACAACAATGTGATTAGAATGTAGAGGGAAATACACTCATTTTCAAGCAAAATTGGTTTCGAGGGAGACTTAACTGGAACCCAGCTGAATTTCTCGTTTTTGGTGTTTTCAGGCATCTGAATGGGCTTCACCAGGCCGCCTCATGTTTCGGTGGCTACGATATTCGAGATATCACGATAAATGTACAGACGTAATGCACTACTCATAAGGTTTTTGAAAATTATTCGACAACCCACGACCGATTGCGCCCGTGTGGGGCTCATCATGTAGGCGCACGAAATTAGCGAAATACGCCCATTCGAAGACTAAGTTGGTTTTCGAGAGACTCACCTGGAACCCAGCTGAATCTCTCGTTTGTGATGTTTCCAGGTAACTGAATGTGCTGCACAAGGCCGTCTCATGTTTCAGTCGCTACGATATTTGAAATATCGCGATAAACGTGTATTCGTGCAGCACTACTCACAAGGCTTTCTTTCACAAAAGAACTTCTCTTAAATCACCATCCTAGTGCTTTTCGTCATTTTTAAACTTCTGCCCTTATCAGACCTTATCTAGGCTGATTCGATCAGCGATTTTCATCTTCTGTTGTCCCGCCTGAGCTTCACAGATCTCATCCAAACAAACCATTCGGGTCCGTTGCTATTGTATACGGCGCGAGTACAACATCAACTTGCTACCTGGACGGTTGTCTTACTCACTTCTGCAGCAAAGACAGCACAGTAACAAAACATGCGTGAACAAACTTATTTAATTGAGGGCTTCTGGAATACACTAGAGTAAATTGTAGAGATGCCCAGGTGATGGTTTATTGGTTACTGCGCGAATTTACCGAGGTGTTTCGAACCTGACCTCTGCCTCTCGACTTCCCCTGTCTAGGCTTGGGCAACTTGGCAGTATTCAAGTCCTCGTGCTTCCTTCTGGTAGCACGGCAGTTATTCACCTAAAAAGTGCTACAGCTGAACGATGCCCATCGAACTAACGGGGATTTAAAAACTACAATGGAGGTATACCCGTGGCGCTTGAAACGAACCGAATCCATATACGATCACGTTCTAGATGATAGTTTGCAGTAACGCAAAATATACTTCACTTGGGTCTATCAGTTTACCAGCATGTTCTTCTGTCAGTTTATGATAAACACACTTACATCGGTCGACCCACACGGACAGATACTGAAAAATACACTTTTAGCCATGGCATACAAACTCCACCCGAGTCAGCGGTGAAGTAATTAGACCATGAAAGTCCTCACTAGGAGCTATCAAACTAGGCCCTGGACTCTTCTAGACCACGGTTTAACTTCGGTTCCGAAATTAGTCATGTTTTATATAAGAGATGCTATCATTCAAATTTTCACGCAATGCGCAAGATACATTTTGAGTTCAAAAATTTTCTACCAGAGCTATCTGAATAATCAATAAAGAGAAGCACATCCGTTTTTTCTAATTTCGTCAGTAACATGAAAATCTGGTGATTTAGAAAGGTTGGGGCTTCTGTTTAAACGGGTTATCACTTTCAAGTGATCCAGTTCACTTTCAAACTACTGGAATTTACTTCTAATTTACAGAGAAGATTGATCAATACACGCTGTTTCTGGTTAAAAGAGCAAACCAAAAAATGTGAGCCAGCTTTCAAATGCCGTTTCGAAGCGCATAAAGACAATTCACTTCAGGTGCGATTCCAACGGTCAGTGCGTAAAGTGTTAGTCCAACTCGGTTTTGCCAACGACTTTGCAAATTTGCGAATTTTAACCAACCACACATGGGTAATGTTTGATAACCCCTTCTCTGTTTTTTTTCGACAGATTCGTGGTGTGGATGGCCAGATTTCACTTGTAATAAAAACGAATGCATTTCACCAGCCTTACGGTGTGATGGACGCGAACACTGTTCAAACGGTTCAGATGAAAGGGGTTGCCGTGAGTCATTTTATCCCGGTTCTTGTTTCTCCGAGGTGTGAATATACTGGTTGTGTGATATTCACTGACCGAGCCAATGCATTACACCCTTTCCAAGGTGCCATTCTAGCTGCCCAATGCCAGTTTATACCTGATATTGCAGTTAAAATTTGTAACAAAATTGCCTTGAAACGGTAAAGATAAAGAAACATGTTCTACAATATATTTCACCGGATTCAACCCGCTACCTGAAAGTAGCCCACCGAACTAGTTGCCTCGATCTGTTTTACAAAGAATTCCAAAATTAAACTGACCCTGTTGTGTCAGCTTGCCGTTCACACCGGAGGATTCGCGACAGGTACCATGCAGCCGTAAGATGCTCCTTGGCTATTCGGTCGAATTTGATTCGGCCGTACTCTACGAAATCCATAACTCATCGGCTACCTTTGAAAATTTGTTGGAAATATATTTTAAATCGATGCTAGTGAAGCAAATAGGAAAGTACAATGGGATGTTCCTATTGGTCATCGTGGATAGCTTCCACGCTGATCTTACCATGGCACAAGACAATGAGAACACTGAAAAATAGTTTCCAATTGGAAACTTCCGATAAAAACCCCGATTTTCTCGAACAAGTTGAATGTTTATGCATATTTTAAACCGATCTTTAAAAATCCTCTTAGTACATGTAGGCTACGTCGATTTGAACCTAGCTACACATCCTTACTTTTGTAGTTAAGCTCAGCTAATGCAGTTTGCTGCAATACGATAAACTACTCGTGAGTAGCTAAAGTTTCCAGTGCAAATGCAATCTGATGACGGGGTAAAGCAGCCCCAGTTCTGTTGCACGTTTCTGAGCCGATATTCCGGTACGAGATACGTCTGAATGATGGTACAGAGTGCCACCCAATCGGAAAAAGTACTTACCAACACGGTTTAGTTGCAGTTCTTGCAGTGCAGTAATTGGTTGAATAAATATGCAGTCAATTTTCGTTACTGTAATTCCTCAAAACCAATGATTTGGTTTCTTTTATCAAACTCATAGCAAGCACAGACTGTGGTCCTCCAAACATACGATGCCCCAGTGGGGAGTGCATTCCACAGGAGAAGAAATGTGACGGTGTGCCCGATTGCAAAGATGGATTTGATGAGTGGGGATGCGGTAAGCTATTCTCTCACTCCCTATTTGTCGTTCAATGAGCGTGGTGAAACTAAATGCACTTTCTGATGAGCAGATCAAACGTGAAGGATGAAACACCTGGATGTTTTCCCGGATGTTTTGTGCGAAGTTCCTAGTTCATGAACTAAGTATCACCTTTCCGAAGACCCAAGGTCAGATCAATAATTGGGTGAATTCACACAAGTTGGACAGAGTTCATGTAACTCTAAGAGGTCGTTTGTTAGAACAACGGGCGTATTCAAACAAATGCGCAAGTCAGGGTGAATCTTATATCCCCTCTTGTTTATACGAAAGGTCCATCTCACAGCCTCTAGTTACCCACCGAACCTTCGCGAACTTACTGCACCCAACGGGAACCAAAGTACTTCAATTCAAGCAAACTGCTGATGCTCGCGTGGTTTGTGATGGACTGGCGCTGCAATCGAAGTTGTTTGTAGGTGGACGTGTGGCCAGTTGAAACTCCAGTCCACTACATGTATCTTGCAGTTTGGTACCCCATTCCTCCAGCTTTTTAAATACACATGAGGTGTGTAAATGACGGGTGGCCTTGAGTAACTGTTTCCTCAAGGATTTGTCAGAGCACGCAGAATCTGACAGTTCCACCCTACCCAGAACTATCCCGATAGTTTTTCGAATAAATGTTTCGATCTTCATCGGAAACAGCATCGGAATTACATCGTCCAAAATGCGACTGAATATCACCACCAGAGGTGGAGGTCGAAGTTGCGAGGATGAGGCAAGTGGTGCGTCGACGTAGGAAGAACAATCAGACGATTGACTGATCAAATCCGAAAGTCGATCTGTCGACTTGCACAACCGAGATTTGCATAATCGACATAACTCAGTGAACTAAACCCAACCGGATGCAGTAAAGTCGCACACCGGCTTCAGCCGCTCCACCAACTGCGTGCGCCCGACATTCTATCGGCGCCAGTTCACTTTCACAGGCGACCTTCAACAGTTCACCCAGTTCCACTCCCATAAACTGCGGCATCGTGTAGTCCCCGTGGAGATAATATTCCGCAAATAGCATGGGAAAGTTTAGTGTGACCAAGACAGAGTTCATGAAGAGTGGTTGTGGCTTTCTACCTGCCGTTTTTTGTTTAGTCCTTTCCTGAACGCCGGTCAAGTTCTGTCGAGCTTTGCCATAGCTTAGGCTAAATTCTGTCCATTTCTGGACATAACAGTGAAATTCAGATCCTCACTCAAAAAGCAAACTCATTTTTCTTACGGTGAACCATAACTTACGCGGCTTAAGCAACAAATAGACAGCTTGTCAGGAAGGTCATAGTCCTGTAAACAACCCCAGAACGTCTAAATCCTACTTGGGACCGCCCATCCCTCCAAGATTCCATCGGTAAGGCCACTGAGGGTAAGCGATTCACATACAATCCCTCGTTCTGACAAGTTAATCTGCCCCCAAGCCAGAAGGCCCACGAGCTCAAATCAATTTTACCCAATAGCAATGTCATATTACCCAAAAACATGGGTGAAATTGGGAAATTAAAACGTGCGAAAAGGAAATATCAAACCATCTCACTTACGATGCATGCAGTTTAACACGTGAATGACGTACCGAACACAGATTGACACTGCGTAAAATATGTGCGACACCGGTCTTTCCCACTTCGTCCGGCCTCCTCAATCTGTTCATCCATGCCACTTCCTTTAACAGGGGGACAAGAGAAAAGCGAAATTTTTTGGTTACAGATTGCTAGAATCAGACTCAGTCCCATACCGCAGAATTTTTAAACTCAGTTAAAGTTTGGAACTCTCGGAAATTTTCACTTTAGGAAGTCATAACTTCGTGCTGCAAATGACTGTGAGCACAACTGACGATGAAACGCGTCTAGATACTACTATAATTTCCTGTGCTACCTGTTGCCGTTCTCATGTTCTACGGCTGTCTTCCCAATGACAACCGAAAGCATCTTAAAGCTGAAAAACGAAGTAACCACTGTAGTCATTGTCACTCGGTCGTAAAGAAGGGACGTGGATAAAAGGGCTTCAACCGCTGTCCACATCTAGGGCACTCACAATCCACACTCACATCTCAGTCACATCTCAATAGGCCTCTTGCACCTGGGGTACTGGTGGTCATGTGGCGTCTGCTGGTAAAATTTTGAACCAATCATTGACTTGCGCTTGATTTGAGGACGAGACAGCTCTCGCCGTCAAACTTCGGGCCTGAAAAGCCGGCCAAACGTTCAAACACCCAATCAGCGACGAGGGACAATGCCCCGGAACTCAGACGGGACCTAGAGGCAATTGGAATAAGTCATTCAACATGGACAGGGCAGCCCTGATTCAAGGTCAGAAGTGCGCACAAGATACATCGACATTCCAAGTGGTTTTTCACTCGCGTGTTTGCGGTCAAGCCGCAAATTGACGTCAGGTACGACACATTTCAAGCCTATTCCTTCGCCCATGAAAAAGTGGTGCTAACTGATGGCTTACGAATGCTTCGATGAAAGCTGGCTTCTGTAAATGAACTCGATGTTGTGAAATTAGGATGCCAAGAATCTATGCAACAGACATTTTTTCTTCGAAATCCGCCTGTATCAATAACGTCCAGCAAGACTCAGTGATGCCGCGCCCCGAATGACCACATGTTACGAAAAATCAGCTGGTATTTTCTAATTCTAGAACCAAGACCGACGGGCTGTCGACCTGATCAGTTTACCTGTCAGTCAGGCGACTGTATTGGAATGAACCGACGTTGTGACGGCCGCCAAGATTGCTTCGACGGGTCGGATGAAAAGAATTGTTGTGAGTTTTTGTTCGATTTACGCACCCCTCATTATCACTGTAACTGAGAGAAGTACAGTTTTCGCTATGCTTGTGTCTGTCATCGAAGTATCGATCCTTGTATCAATGTAAGTTGCAATCGATGTGCCTTTCCTGACGTGGATGTGGTTTGGTAGGAGGCATGGTAACCTTTTACAAAAGAGCTGCCATCAAGACTTCAGAAGCGAATCATCGCACACAATCCGGGCTACGCCCGTGCTTCAGAAGCGAATCATCGCACACAATCCGGCCCATCTGCTACGCCCGTGTACAAAGATCCTTGACTGAAATTAGTTCTCATGGGTTGATCAAAGTCAGAGGACCATGTAGTTAACTTTTTTCAGTTGTGTTCCTGTCATTCCAGTTTGTTTGAGGACCTCGTAACGAGCAAAACTCAGAGTTAACAGAGTGGCTAAAATCATCACTCTCGTTGGGCCCCTGACGAGTGTACAGAACACTCGTTGAATTCTACGTTAAACCATACACCCAAAAATAAACCCAAAAGAGTTGCCATCCCCAGATCTCTTCAATCTGTTTTAAGCTAACATAAGTGGGGAAGATGGCTCAAGTGGTTTGAGCGCGAATTTACTGACTGGAGGGTTCCTGGTTCGAACCCGACCTCTGCCTCTCGACTTTCTCTGCATAGGCTTGGGCAACTTGGCTGTATCCCAGTCCTCATGCTTCCTTCGGGTAGCATGGCAGCTAGGCACCGGAAGGTGTTACAGCTGAGCGAGGCTAACATAACTGGTACTCTATTCTTCAAGCCAAACGAATTATCCAAGACTCACAAACTGATAAGTAACCGTCATTATCAGTGTCCAATAAACCTAACGGTATACTCCGTCTTCATCTCTGCTTCCTGGAATTTAATACCACCCAGAGACAGCGCTTATTGCCCGCGCCTTGAAGCAGGGTATCTGTACACCAAGCGATAATCACCGACGTCGTACAGAATTACTGACCGAATTCGGCATGAGTGGTCATTAGGGCAGGCCAACCGTCATTATTAGTGTCCAATAAACCTAACGGTATACTCCGTCTTCATCTCTGCTTCCTGGAATTTAATACCAAGCACCCAAAAAATATCAGAAGATAGAGGATATGAAATGTGTGCTTTTATTTTCTATTGAAGAGGGCAAAATTGGGACATGTAATATTAATTTGCACGAAAAGGTTCATTTTTCGGTACTTTTGCCTCCAAACGATCTCACACAAGTGGCTGTCCACTAAAGATCCGTGTGTGCTGCACTGGCGTTTATCCTGAATCTTGTAGACGTGCCCTGCGTGGTTTTTAAGGCGAGATATTACCGCTTTATCGATCCCGACGTGTAGACCTGGGCCGATAACTGTTGCAGTCTGCAAACTTCGCGAAGAAAGTTCTTCCAGTCAACAGCGGTCATGTGGCTAGTAGATAGTTCCTCTGAGCAGAATTTGATTTTTGCCAAACTTTTTTGGACCAGCAATAAATGAATAGAATTACTGTCCTAAACTCCATCCTAGACCGCTTCAGCGTAGTTCCGTTTCGAAGGCCGATCTCTTGCCGACACTGTCGAGCATTACCACTCCACCTGTCAGAAACAGTTGAAAATGTCATTTGGTGGTCATTGTTGCATGAACGTTGCTGATGCATAACTCCGTTGCTTTGCAAAAGGAGGTATTGCCGTCCCCTTGTCATGAAAGAGAGTTGAAAACGTCAAAAAGTGCAGTTAGGGTTTTACGTCCGAACGGAGAAAATTTTTGCACAAAGTGAGCCTAGACACGGACAAGAAGTCGTTTTCATCACAAATAGGTCAAGGTTGTGTGCGTGCATGAAACTAGATCTGGCAAAATATAGTGGGGCTTAGCTTTTCACACATGCACTTTTGCATTAGTGGTGGGGCTTATCTGGAAAAGATCCCGCGCTATTAGCTGCATACATATGTTGGTGCTTCTGTGTGCAAGTGAACGAGCGAGATCAGATATTCGTGAACAGTAAGGAAAACGGATAACTAGTTCCAGCAAAGCTAAGCCAATGGTGGGAAAGTGGAGTGGAATATTGTTACAACGTTCCAAACTAAATTTGACGTGGTTGGAGGCACGGATGTGGTCGAGGGTGAGTTTAACAGCTTGATTGGAGCACGCTCAGAGGGAGAGTGTTCCGAGGAGGAATTAATGGAGATATCTAGGTAAGTTAATCACAATGCTGATCAGCCACCCGTGGTTAAACGCCTAGGCGTTCGAACTACTGGCCGGGATGTCGCGGCTTCGAAACTCTCTACTGATCCCACTAGAGAAGCAGACAATCTCACAGAAAGGAGATACGACCCCATACACCAATCTGCGTTGTCTAGGATGAAGATCACACCCCCAGACACTTGTGAGAACTGAGCTTGGTACTCGAGATACCTTGATGTACTCTGCTTCTTAATTGAGTTCATAGATCTCCTCTGTCCTACTCAGTCATACGTCATTTGGAACGCTCGATCCCAAAAGTTGTCCTGAGTACTATCCTAAGGCAAATAACACTTTCGGGTGTGCCGGTGTCACTGTGTTTCCATTATACTGCAGTTTTTTTTCTGCAGACGGTCTAGGTTTGTTCGAACCCGAACTTATCTCTCTACTAAATTGTGAGTGGAGATTCAGTAAGAGTACTTGTACAATTAATAAAGCTTGCAATGGTTAATTACCAGGACAATGTCCTCTTCGTATGTCCAGTAAATTTTCGGTGAGTAAGGTTACCAGTCAAAGAATGTCTGTTCGATTTGTTGCAAAACTCGCAGCCATTGAAGACACCATTTGTAAGCTCTTGCTCAGAAACTGAACCCTGTACACAGAGGCCTTGTAAGTACGGTTCAAGCATTTATTCGCGCCTGGACTATTCGTACATTACCTGGTGGAAACATTTTTCTGATCGTTTTACTCTAATGATAGTACTGCGAGTAAATGGTTTTCTGGTAGGTTGAAGACTGACCGCTATTCAACCAAGAAACAGACAGTGGAGGAACTGACCGCGGTAACAGGCTCAGTGACCATGGATATTAGTACAAATGTAGCGGCCGTAATATATATATATATATATATACTCTGTTGTCTAAAAGTGATGCTCGCCGTCCAATGATAACTCGAAGAACCCTCATTAAAGAATACTCACCTGGTGATCAGTTTTCCTCTGAACAACTGAACATTTTGCGTTCAATGTTACCTCATGCAGATTCGACAAGTGAAACTCACCGCAAAGAATATATCCGCCCATACACCACCTATCGTTTGGAATGTCGTTCGGGTGTACCGGGAGTTGCCCCGTCCATACTGTTAGCAAATGGAACTTCAGTTGAACAGCTCCCAAGATTCCAAACCAGTCGACCATCCCTGGAGCACATGGTTGTCGTAATCGCAGATCTGACCGAACGTGAAAATGGACTGCTTCTCAGGTTTGTGTATCGTAGCAAATGAAATCAACCTTAGTCACCTGAGAATCGTGGACCAGCATTTTGTTCTCTTGCACCTGTTCCACATGCTTCCCTATTTAATTCCAGTTTCATGGACCTTGAGATTACCTGTACCGTGGTTAGTGTTCCCGTCATTGTGGATTGTTTCCTGCGTTTTCCAACACGCAGACAACTTTGCACTTGTACACAGTGCCATCCGGGCACGCATGAATGCGCAGAAGTAGGCTGACGGTCACCTACTTCCACACTCCGTGGTTAACCGGTCGCCTAGATCCGCGAGTGCCTACAGAATATGGTGTCATTTGCATTGAGAACAAGACTTACTGCTCAGGCAAATACATCAATTTGCATATCATTGACGAGAGACCCACCTGGAACCCAACTGAATCTCGTTTGTGATGTTCTTAAACAACGGAATGTGCTGCTGTCGAAAAGTTTTCAGCAATCCCATGAGTAGTGTATCGCGTTTAAGAGCGGGTGTTAGTTACAAGAATATAGACCAGACACTCGCAGTCTGTTTACTAACACAATAAATCCATTGAAAATGCGCGAGGGCTTCAGAGCGGAAGGTAACGTTTCAACATTTATGTGAGAATTTTCCGCTGGTGGTAGTCAAGTTTCGTTAAGAGATAAGTTCTTTGAACCATGCCAATCAAGAAGATATTTTCCCAGTAGTAGTGCAGAAGCGAAACACCAAGAGCGTTCCCGTTCATGGGTTGCCCATGATACGTCCTTGCATGCGTGTGAGTGTGTACGATCTGGCCTACTAAATTCAATCAATATTCACCAGAAACGCCTGGCACGGAGTGGAAATTTTCTACCTTTTGTCCATACCTTACTAGTCCACCAGTGATCCACTTTCAAATCTCAAGGAAACTGTCAAACTGAGAAAAGACCTAGCTGTAAGGTTGCTTATTGTAATTCAGTAATACATCTGAGAGCATGTCTAACAATTTCCTCGCACTTGGTTTGAAAGTTTCCCTTTGGGATTGTGATACGCTCCTAAATGATCTGATTTCAAACAGTAATTGAGCTCTACTCGAACCCGGAGTAAACTGTTGATTTCAGGTATAAATCGTGGTCTTACAAGTGGTACCGTTATAGGATACTTTAACCACAGTCCACAGTATCACGTACTCGAGATTTTTCCAACGGGTGCAGAGTTCCGAGTATCTGACAATCCCCACCGACCATATTGGTGCACTTTTCCGTAGCAAAGCAGTGATAGTGGCGTCTGTACTGATGTCTTCAAAACTGTACACTAACCGTTTATGGGTAGAAACTGGACATTCACAATGCCCTTGTAATTCTCCTTCCTTCCGTTCCCAGCTGTACTTCAGGAACTTCGATTCCCATCGTTACCGAGATTGCCATCACATCCCCTTGTCCACCGACGGACATGATGTGCCGCGATGGATCCTGCGTTCGACGTGAAAGGTTCTGCGACGGACGAATGGACTGCTTGGATGGATCAGACGAGCGCCCACCCCACTGCCGTAAGTCAGGTTGCGTGAAAAGAAAACAAAATACTTGCCAATTTAGTTCTCGATATCTTTTCATACACCTCCTTATGGGTCTTCCCCCAATCAAGCAATCTTGCACCCATTTCCACCCTATTCAGATTCGACAAGTGAAACTCGCCGCAAAGAATATATCCGCCCATACACCACCTATCGCTTGGAATGCCGTTCGGGTGTGCCCGGACTTTCCCCGACCATTTTACTAGCAAATGGAACCTCAGTTGAACAGCTCCCAAGATTTCAAATCAGTCGACCATCAGCGGAGCATTTAGTTGTCGTAATCGCAGATCTGACCGAACGTGAAAATGGACTGCTTCTCAGGTTTGTGTGTCATTGCATTCGAGATCGGTTTTGCATTGTTCCTGACAGCACTGATCTGGGAATCGTTGACCAGTATTTTGTGCTCTTGTGCCTGACAATCTTCTCTTCCCTAGATAACTCTCTAACCCAAGGCTAGCTGACCCAGTGATGCCTTTCGAATCCACACAACCAGATAACGTTTCTGTTCTGGACTCAGAGAGACATACTACCGAGTAGTTTTCTGAATATATTCCCTGAAGAGAACAGACGGAAATGTATACTTGTTCAGCTCGCTGCCCTGTTGTGTGGTGCACTCATTTCTTCAATATGAAATCTTGTCTGAAAATTTGTGGCTTTCGAAATCTAAGCACCTTCCTCCGACACAATCATACTGCAAGAGCTATTTACGTGACCACTGGAAGCATTTGGTTTATAACTTTTGATTCTCGCAGTGTTTTTGTGCCTTCGATGGGCCTATTGATGTACTATGATTGGAACATTCAAGACAAACTAGCTGGCTCGATTCCATCGTAGAACCTCTAAGTTGCTTCGGATAAGGTCCCTCCTTGATTAACCGATTTCGACTCGTTGAAACTTGTGATCCCGTCTTAGACCCTCGTGAATCTTTCTTGGGATTTCATGCCACTCAGACCAAAGGGCTTGTTGGAATTACCTAAACTACTGATAAACTGGAAGTAAATGGACACACTCGGACCGTCGTGCGTATGTGGAGAGCGCAGCCGCTGAGTATGGAGGTTGTGAACTTCCTATAATGACAGCGAAACGTTTGTATCTTCAGCAAGTTCGTTCAACGGAGTTAATATCGAAGAATTCTCAAATCAGAGCTTAGATCAGGCACTGAGCTGCACCGAACCGACCGCTAAAGCACACTTGCTAGTTAACCCTTAAGATCATCCAAACACATAAGAGGCATTGATGTATGTCCGATCAGTGTTAGTAGTGCGAGGTGATTTTGGAATCTTCAGGAGAGGGATTTTGCCTTATAACTGAAGCCACCCTATGCTGAAAAGCGGAGAGGCACTGCGCAGTTTATTGGGAATCATCAACCGTGTGTATCTCGTGAAACCCAAGGGTCTTTCGAACCTTCCGCCGCCCTGTTGGTCGGCTGAATACTTTGCCGTCACGACCAGCAAATCGGTAGCGTGACCAATCCTCATTTAGACACGATGTAGCGCCACACCCTTCAATCGCGGAATTCGCATCACGTGGTTAGTGCGAGTGCATCCCACCGCTCGCTATGAAACCGTTGATGGTTCAAACTATCAGCCGAGAGGTCGTGGGTTCGGAACTCTCTGAGTTTCATTACATGGACACTCCTTACTCTCTCATGTGAGGATGAAGCAAGCGTACAGTGTTTCCAGCTTTTCAGCATAGATTGGTTTCACTTACGAGACATCCAATCGAGCCACCCATTGCCTTATTTTCTGCCGAGATTCGAGACCGCAAGCAATAACGGAACGCTTCACGCTTTCCACATGTTTTGTTGTTAGTGTTTAGTATGTGGACAGTTCTCAGGAAGGACTTTGAAAGGAATCGATTTCAATGACAAGCACCTGCCATATTATGGGGGTTTACACAGAACCAGACCACACTTGATCAGCGTTTGCGGCCAAGGATGGAGAAACGACTGACACCGCCTCTAGCAAATTGGTGTGTGGCATCAATCTCCGTCTATCCCGGTCGGATACAGGCCTGCGTCCACTTTTGAAATCGCTTTTTGAGATTTTCCATCTTGAACATCTCTAAATCACAAACACCTTGACTTGTTACCTGTTGCACTGGTTCGTCCGTGCAATACACAAATTTACTACGTGGTCTGGTGTGCGCGCGTTCTACAACCCTAGTCTATCACTGCATTCCACTTGATGATGCCTGGATTCCCAATTCAGTCATCAACCGATTGTACTTCTGTACCACTTTGGCGCTGGTCGTCCTTGCATGCGTGTTGCGCCATTGGCAAAATTTCCTATAACCACTCAAACCCGACATTTGTCTCTCAGCATCTCCTGTCTAAGATTGGGCAACCTGACAGTATCTCAGCCCTCGTGATTCCTTCCGGTGGCATGGTGGTTAGGCACCGAAAGAGCCCTACAGATGAACGACTGTCACCATAAATAAAATCTTCCTTTTTGCATTGGTCACTTTTTAACCCCGCCCCCGTCTGGTCACTAGCTGAGGCGACTATTGACGGTTGAGTCCGGTGGTTTTTATTTGTCCTCATTCCCCATGCGCCTGCTCTGGAATTTATTTCCCGTTTACTGATAAGCTTGCAAAATCTCCACAGCACACAAAAGCAGCCTAGCATGACATACGCGTTCCAGATCGATATCATCATCATCATCATCATCATCGACAGCATGACATCAGTGTTCAACACCGATGCTTCACTGCCTTACAACCATGATTCCAGATCGATAAGGAACCGTTACTCTGAGCCTGCAGTGCGCTGCGCGTTTAACACTTTCCTGCTTATCCACGTTCAGTTGTACCGCAGGTTCGTCTATTCCCAGCGTTACTGAGATTGTCATTACATCGCCTTGTCCCCCGACGGATATGATGTGTCGTGATGGTTCCTGCGTTCGACGTGAAAGGTTCTGTGACGGTCGAATGGACTGCCGAGATGGATCCGACGAACGTCCACCCCACTGTCGTAAGCCGTTCTTTCATTTATCGTTTATGGTGCCCCATCCGAACTTCTATCACACTTCCCAGATTTGTCGCCAACACATGTTTTCACAGAATACCAGGGACACTTGCTGAGCATTCTTAGAAAAATATCAACGGTTCTTCTTATTAAGATCTTCTTAACGGTGTTATGAAAAACTGTCCAAGAAAAGATGTGCCTACGCTTTAGGCAATTCCATGGTATCTCACATGTGATACTTAGAGGTTGTTCCCCACGTTATCAGTAGTGCTGGTAGGCGTCAAACTGTCTTGTACAGTGAGGCTCATCATAAGCTATTTAGATTCAAAATGTCACATACTTTCCAAATACCTGTCAAACTCAGGTCGAGACCATTTATTCGTATCATGTGTTATGGACTGCCGAATAGCTATAATGCAGCCGTAATTCATAAACATAATACTTGTTGTAAAGGAAACTACTCACAAGGTTGCTGAAAACTCTTCCACAGCCCACGTTCGGTTTCGTCCTTCTTGGGGCTCATCAGGTAGACGCAACCCCCGAGTTTCCGTCAGCCTTATGATCAGCAAACTTGTGAGTAGTTTCCTTTATGGAAATATGCCGCAATATCTCGAATATCGTGCCAACTGAATCATGAGGCGGCCTGTGTGCAGCACATTCCGTTGTAGAATATCACAAACGAGATTCAGTTGAATCTCTCGTGAAAACCAAATTGATCTTCAGATTCGTGTATTTCTAGAGAATACTTGTTGTTTTTTATTGTGCTTACGGATGAAGTGTACTGGTAAAGCAGCCGACACCCTGGTTGCACAAACTTCAAGCCAACCTCTAGTATCAATGAAACGTATACATGTCCGAAATAAACTTCTATCTATGTTGCATTTCTCGTGCTACTTTAGCGTTTCGGTGCACTGAATTGTACACTTGCATCTATCCCGTTCGGTGTCGTAATCTCCGTAACGTCAGTCTAGACACGCCATAACCGATCGTATGGTGGTCAGAAGTGAAACGATATCATGTGTTGAGCAAAGCAACATTACAATCGTTTTTACCACTGCCAGGTACTTTGCTCCGTAACCCGTTTTCCGTTCCGTTTTGGAGTCCTGAGGTGCACATATTGGCGTCAACGAATACCGTCCAGGACGCGGACACACAGGCACACACCCACGCACACGTGCATTCGCTGACTCAATAACCTGATGACGACTCATCTCTAAACTTTTTTAATCGATCGTGGAACTAGTTTTATTCACGTCACCCTTATCTAAACGGTTCTCCTTCTATCTCAGTGCAATTATTCCGGTTTCATCAAAACAACGGAAGAGAGCAACACAGTCACCTAGGGGTCAGTGTAAAGGTCCTTTACTTCCCAGTTTTTTACACTGCAAACCAATCCGTCGACCGCAAGCGAAGGTGTACGGTGGGTTACCAACCCACCACTTTCGTGCAGATTTTAAAACTGGTTTGTTAGAACCTTGGTAAACTCTCGTTTAACTCATACCAGCTTGTCGAATCAAGATTCCCGTTTATCTGGCAGGGATAACATGCAATCAAACAAGTTGAATGCCATTCACACGTGGCTTACAAAATCAGTGGCGTGTATGAATACACCCCTTAAAATCTCCTGCTTACTTCCAGCTGGCATTGGAGGATGTCCTTCAAATCAGTTTGCTTGCACGTCAGGAGAGTGTGTTGGAAGTGAGAAACGGTGTGATGGCCGTCAAGACTGTTACGATGGATCGGACGAACAAGGATGTGGTAAGTACTGTTGAGTTTCCGATAGCTAAGCGTTTTCCAGCCTTACAACTAGTTGAAATCAGGAACGAGCGGTCGCGTGAAAAAAAAGACATCAGGTTAACTGGTGACTTCATGATGCTGGGTGTGTGCGTGCAAGACGGCTGTCAGCTAGTTTGATTTTGGCTATTTAACACTTTGGTGCAAAGCAAATTAGGTCTACATAAATAGTCTACCAGCAAAGCCGGAGTGAGTCGCATTATCGATATGAAAGAAGAATCAGCATCCTTGGGACAACGAGCGGATATTCGAACTTTTTGAATTAAGTCGCAGGGGACAACTCCCCTAAATCCGCCGACAGCCCATTACCGAATTCGCCCGGTTTCGGACTCAAGTGCGTCTGCAGTCACAGCAACTTCACCATGCCTACGAGCCCGTGACAGCTGCCTCGGTGTGTCAGAGAGTTTGCGCGTGTGCGTGTCTGTTCGTCGCTCCACCATCGATCTGGCGTGTGACTTGAGTGGTCGATTGGGTGCGTGTCAAATTGATTTGCTCACGTGCGCGTTGTGGATATGTGACTCAGTTGTTTGCTTACCCGTCACGAAAGCGAACCAGTTGGCAGCGTGTACGCAATACACCCATGCCATTACATACGCGTTTTTTCTGACTTACTGTGAACCACAATTGTCCTAAAGTTGAAATCTAACTTCCCCTAGGAAACGGACACCAACTCATTTCGTAATGTTTCCGTCACCAGGAAGCAGTTCCAGTTATTTGGTGGCCCTCTTCCCTAATCAAGCTAGGACAAACCTAGTGAACTTTGAGGTATATGAGGTACTTCTTAAAAGCTGTGAATAATTCCCAATTTCACAGCGACCCTTCTGGAGTAACACACTTCCGTTTGGGAAAATCAGAGGGCTACTCAGTCGACGACAATGTTCCTTGGTTTGATATCTACATCACTGATATGTTTTAAGCAAATTAACATTTTGTAGAACACTGGTCGATATCTCGAGCTGGTAGTCAGTAACTTCGGGTTAAAAAATCACGTTGTATCAGCGCGCACAATACACATACTTCGAACAGACGTTTTGGGAGAACCCTACGAATTTGTGAAGCTGAAAGACGGCTTTATCAGTGAAGAAACACAAGTATATTATCCCTACTAATATTAGGAGAACCAGCTTTGAACGTAACTGCCAATGAAATAACCGTTTTCGTTGGGACAGATTTGATTGGTTGTTCTTAAAATTGTCCTTGACAGATGAGTTCTATTTCTAGTACCACCTTTTGGCCCGCCTAGAACTTTTCACGTGAACTTTCGGCTGCACGTGACACGCCTGTACGCGCACGTGCTCGATTGATCAGCTGATTAGCACGTTCATTGGCTAGGCGCATTAGGCCATCAAACGGCTATCCAGACTCGGGTTCACTATATTAGGAAGGGATTAGCAAACAAAAACTATGCGGTTGCAAGCCATTGGACCCAAAGCTTTTGAAAAGTGGGCATTCTCAAGCGTCTTCTTTTTTCTGGAAGTTCTTTCTTTTCTGGAAGTTCTTCGAATATTACACAAAATTAAATGACTGCGAAGCGGTTCCATAATTTCCCTATTAGCCTTCACCTCCTGTCAGGTGCGGGGGAGGAACTTGTATACCAACCCACCGACTACTCGCATGCTTCACCAGTAGTACACGTCGTTATACTGGTAATTTTGCGTTTGCTCTGCTACAGCCCAAAAGATTGTTCAGGTCATGCGTTCCACATCTTCCGATTGCTTCTTCTTGAATCGCATAGAAAATGGAACTGAATATTTTGACGTGTTTTCCATAGGCGTGTAAGCACAAAACACGTTTCAGTCAGAGACCCTGTTTACTTCAAATAAGGTCCAATAAGTGCAAACAAACTGTGGGAACGATGCTGAATATTTGGGGGCAATCAAAGCTGACAGAAGAGGAAAATGCCACTGAGGGGAAACTGTAAGAAGCCAGTGATTGATGATCGGGTATAAAACTACTTGTTTTTGCAAAGACGCACTTCGAGGCTTTGTTTCACGTGTGTTGGCAGACTATGATTAAGTTAAATCTCGTCATATGGTCACCCCGATTATAGTCAATGTTTGGGAACAACACGAAAAACCTTATGGTTGGAGTAAGTTGAACTCTCCCCCCTATACACTAACTGGTTTTATACAACTTAAAGCCTGGTCATCCAAACGAACTCACACGTCATTGTATTCACCCCCTGCATTTTTATGGCCTATTTAGAGATGCCCCCGCTGGTCAATCCAGAAAAGTCCATCGTCAGACCCTACGGTTCAGTGGAAATCGAATGTCGCTCCAGGATTTCCGGAGTTCGTCCATCACTCAGGGTCGAAAATGGTACGCCTGTGGAAACGCTCCCCAGATTCCAAGTGACGAGGCCAAATTTGGAAACAATACTCGTCCGGATAGGGAATCTGACAGAAAAAGACCATCGTATACGACTGACGTAAGTTCTTGTGACGTAGGTGACAATTCATGGTTGACTTCTCAGCATTCAGTCACCTGTGCAATTCTTCCGTGATTCATTGATGACTCATTTGACTGAAATTCCTGCTTCGCGTTTAGACTTTTGAGAATCAGAGACTCATGCGGAATATGAGAGAAATGGAATGGGAGGCGGTTTTTTCTAAAATACAAGGCAAGGCAGATGTGTAGCAGTGATTGTGGATTTTGGCTGAGGTTAATGAAGCGTCTGCATTAATCAATTTCCGGAAGCTCGTTTGAAAATTTCAAGTATCAAATGGAAGAATTGGCTTCGAATTTCTACGGTATTGTTCACATACATAAGTAAGCGAAATTATATGATGAACCTCATTTGTCCACGCGCGCAAGTTTACCGATGATCGGAAAACATCAGCGTCAAGGACCGCATGTCAAATGACAGCGAGCGGAATGTTGAGTCATTGATGCGGACTACCGTCATTCCCTCCTGTGGTCCTGGTGGCAATCTGGGTGGAGAGTGCCGAGGTCCTGACGGAGCAAAATAGGTGGATATCAATAAGTAAAATGGGTCAAATCTGATCCAGCGGTTGCAGCACTTACCGACGTCACATCGGTCATGTTTTTGCGTAACTCCGAAATTTCATCACACCTACAACAACTACACTCATCGTGAGTCATTCAACTCTGAATGTCCCGGACTGTTGGTAGTTCTGGCCTGCAGGAATCGCTAAAATTCAGAAAAAAAAGAATCACTGAGTTATTCTAGTGGCTTCTGTTACTATTCACATATAGTAGCATCTGCAGCGGTTTCCTAAATTTTAGTATTTTGTTCTTCTCCCTGAGTAGCATTGCAACAACGTGTCCAGTTTGATTCACCCTTTTAACCCATGTTCAGGTAAAGGGTATGCAATCGGTATTGTTGTAACAAAATATTTTCAAAATTTTTTCATGTTATGGAGAGCATCATCGTGGGTGCATATGATCGAAAGACACGATAAGACCTTTTATCTCTCGGGGCTTGACCCGGATGTCAGAAGCGTAGTTTGCAGAAACATTTACACCTTTTTCAACCTGTCTGTCAACGCTACCTTCTCCATTGGAGATTGTCCATCTCTATAGCATATGCTTCTGTTACAACTGCAATTCTGATATATACACAGTGTTCGGTCATATAATTTTGTAATGCTCTGTTATATCTGCTCTAGCGCCGTCCCCAATAAGGTGGACAGAGATCTCTCGAATACGCTTCATACGGAGCAGAGCAAAGTGCGCGGAGGAAAATGAACCTAACACTACAGACACCTATTATGAAAATGTATTGTTGGCATCCTCGATAACACAACATCAGTCTGTGACGCTGATGCTTCATCGCCGAAGAAGTATGGTAAAACCGATTACGGCGTGATCGTGAAATAAATCAGCGAACAGGCTCCGGTGGTTCCCGAGACGAAATGTTCAAACTGCGCCGTAAGACCGGGACACATGACTTGAAAAATATTTTGTCCACTCTGTTGTGCATAGCCCCGTAGTTAAAATACACTGAGACAATTTTATTAGAACAAAGTGGTGCAACAGGATGGTGGTTTCTACAGAAATTGAGGCTGGACACTCGCTTGAAAATGTAGTAAAGCTTGCGTTCCACCAGGTAGTAGCGATCAAGCTCTTAATTCAAAGAGATTATCTGAAGAGTTTTGTGATTTTACAAGGGTGTAGAATCGGTGGGAATAACAAAAACTGTATGGCTGATCCTTTACTTGACTAGCCGCATTATTTTGCACTCCGGTGGAGCACTTATCCGGCGGACCAGTTCACCGTTCAAGAGATACTTTTTAACCCTGATGAAAACAATTTCACCGGTCAAGATTGGATAAGATCTCATACACAACTCCCAGCAACGTGATGAACTGGCATTCAAAATTAAGGTCACCTAAGAAATAGCTTCTGATACATGCAAAAGCATTAGTACAGTCAAGGGCATTTCTGAATAAAATTCGATGCAATTCAACGAAATTCACCGAATCTCCCAGACGGTCATCTTTCAATGTCTTCATTTTTCCCACCCGCAGCTGTTACTGTACGACCGGCCAACCAAGTAGCACCGAAATCTTCATTGATTCCCCATGTCATCCATCCGAAATGATGTGTCGGGATGGAACATGTATCCCCCGAGAGCTTTTCTGCAACGGACGTCTGGAGTGTCCAGATGGTTCTGATGAGAGGCCGCCACACTGCAGTAAGTATTTTAACCTCACAAATGATCGTGACCGGTTCAAATTGTCCAGATTGAGAAGCTATGTTCACGGGGCTGAGTGTATATGACTCCAAGCTTTGGCTTACAGGGTCTGTATGAGACTGCATCTCATGTCCCAATAATGTACCAGCAGTTAGACAACAGTAGGGAATGGTTAAAGGGATTTTGCATGAGTTGGCACGATATGGGGGATACGGTTGTTCAAAGTGGATCTTAAAATGTACAGCAACATTCTGAGAAGTGAAACTATCTACAAACATAAGTGGAAAATCTTGCAGTTTGCATGATTTCGAAGTTATTTTTCTTACTTTAATTTCGGTGGAGTGGTAGAAAACCTTCACGACCGACCAATGGAGAACGAGAAATCTCCCATTGTTTAATAAAGAATTCCAGGTTCCCTCCAGCTGGAATTAAGGACTTTTGGAAACGTGCCGTTTCCTTGCAGTCAGACGAGTGTTCTGACGATACAGTTAGTAGGCTGCGACTGGTTTTATTTCTAAGGGGATACTTTATTATATCAAACTGTCTATCCTGGTGAACGGAGGGCCTATCCTGATGATCTCACCTATTAAAAATGCCCAAAATTTACCAGTGAATAACAGTTGCATCAGGATGTACCACGATTTTTTGAAACGCTTTCTGCCCGCGTGAGTCCGCCACGCATCAGTGAGCCTTACTCTAACGGCCAACCTTATCTCTTCCGCACTTAGTACCGATAATACAACTATGAACGTCAGTTTACTTTCGTCTGTCTGCAGTGGTGTCAACGGCGATGGTGGTGGGCAGGGTACGTCTGCCGCTTTTCGGTATGCGGTCAGGATTTCGGCGAAACTTACTGTTTTCCATAAGACGGGGTGAACCTGGGTCACAAGTGGAACCCCTAGTTTTTTGGACGTCGTTAAAGACTCTGTTGTCTCGGTTGAATTTCGTTCCTCAAGGGCAATGTTCCTGATGGCGTATTGGAAACTACGATGAAGCCATTTGGTCTGCTTCTTCAGCGCCTTCATTTTCCTTCAAACAACTGTACCTTCAGTGAAAACTGATGCCTCTGCCGTCCAACTACTAAATGCTTCCCAGTAGTACGTTTTGTTTGCAAAGTCGAATTACCCTAATTGGAAGCTTGTATTTTCCCCCTCAAGCATCCGCAGCACGTTGCACTACAGGTCAGTTTGCTTGCGCTTCCGGGGAGTGTATCGACATCAGAATGCGATGCAATGGTCGTCCGGAGTGTGCAGATGGCTCTGATGAGCGCGGATGTGGTAAGTATGGAGTTTCCCCATATATGTACACAATTTGCAGATGGTTTCTGAACTCTCTCATTCAACCAATCGAGCTTAGCCTTTTGTATTGTTAACATACTGTGATATCTGATTCTCGTGGCTACACACCAAAGTGTGGAAGCAGTGGAGTGTGTTTTGCACTCACAGGAGCTCATCAGCCACGCTAGTGTTTGATCTCTTGAAATCTGACATGCGAGGCAAGCGTGTTACCACTAATCCACCAGCACTCGCTGGGTGTACCTGATTCTTCGTTTCTGTATGGGCGAACGCGTTCACGATTGAGCGATGTGACTGGCTTGCCCGACGCCTCAAAGACGACCCGGCAACATTCCGGTATTTGTCGATCAACTGACCTGCTTGTCACATCACCTAAACCATTTAGGTCGTAGTATTTGATTTTGTCGAATCAAACAGACCTTCTTTGTTGCAACACAAACCCTGATCACATAATCGATTTTTCCTCACCGCAGGTCCGTCCCGCTGCATGATCAACCAGTTTCCTTGTGCTTCCGGAGAATGCATCGATGCACGATTGCAGTGTAATGGTCAAAAAGACTGTTATGATGAGTCCGATGAATACGGATGCAGTAAGTCCTCACATAGTGCACTCAATATATTGTATGACGTCCATATATATATATATATATATATATATATATATATACGATAATACAACAGTAGCTAAAAAGCTTGACAAAATATAGCATTTCGGTACTCAAGAAACACCCCGTGGAGACTTAAGTAGTAAACTGACGCCACGCAAACTCTTTTACGCTGACATTTTTCCATCCAGGCTTCAGCCTGCCTTAAAGCAACTTATCCGTTTGTTCAAACTGGACATATCTACTGCAAAGCAGATTGAGGTCAGTTCACCACAACAATCCGTTTGACATTTTGTTCAGGTATGTCGGCCGGACTGCCCGTAGTTACTTAAATGGGGTGGTTAGCTAACTAAAGTGGAGATTGATTGATCGTGATTGATCGTCCACTCCGGCCTGAAACAGATGCAATTTACTCCGTTGGTAGCTTTCCTATTAAGTTTTGTCGTTATGCCACCATCATCTGATTCGTCCTCTATTCTGAGCGACGAAGCATACTTGAAAATGGCCAAAACTGGATGTATTCATAGGATTCTTGTGTGTCTGTGTCTGTCTTTCTATCTATCTGTCTATCTGTCTGTCTGCCTGTGTCTATCTGTCTGTCTGTCTGCCCCACCGTCCGTTCGTCTGTCTGTCTGCCTGTCTGTCTATCCATCCGTTTGTCTGTCTGTCTGTCCGTCCGTCTGTCTGTCTGTCTGTCTGTCTGCGAGAATAGTCTGATTTGGAGACTATTGAAAGTCACGCCTTGAGATAGTTACAATAAGCACAGCATACTGGCACGGAGTGTCAGTAGCATATATGTTTAGATAATGTTTAGATGATGCTTTGCACCATGCTGTATGCATTACATAGTACTGAGTATGGGCGATCTGAAATGTCAAAGATTCGGTTTATTCCCCTGGTTGCACAGATGCTGGACCTATACTCCGACCAAGAAGACCAGTGGTACGCCCCTACGGATCGGTTGAGATCGAATGCCGTTCAACCAAACCAGGTGTACCTCCTATTGTCACTCTGGGGAATGGAACCGACGTTGCCCAAATTCCGCGTTTTACCGTCAGCAAGCCTAACTATGAGACAGTTCTGGTTCGAATTTCCGACCTCACCGAACGCGACCGTGGTTTAGTAATTAGGTAAATCGCATTGCCAAATATCATATGCTTCTTTGTGTCCCGCTGTGCGCAGTTCCCGACATGGGACTACATGGTGTGAACATTTTATCTTATGTTATTAGAATCTGGTCTTGATTTGTAGATGTTCCTATCCTACCGGTGAAATGAACCTCACTGAAATTCTGATCGACTCTCCGTGCGCACCGATGGAAACGATGTGTCGAGATGGGACTTGCATTCGAAACGAGTACGTATGCAATGGACGCGCCGACTGTCCAGATGGATCGGATGAAAGGGCGCCACACTGTGGTGAGTGTGTTATCCTGCAATTTAGAACTAATTGCCAATGAACATTTAAACACTTGAATGGTCTGATAGATCCAACCAGAAAATTTTCCAACAGGACAATGGTGGCGCACTTGGTGGAACATAGGTTCGGGTGTACTCAGTACGTGCGATTACACTTGGGGCGGACTGAACGGGTTCCCAGCGTATCTGTCGATTCTAGCGGTGTTTACATAGAAATATTGTTTGAAGATCCAGGCGTGTATAAGGCAAGCGAAACGGTAGGCAGCGGTATCCAGACTCCCAGGTGTTCTATATCGAGTGGGTTACGGAGTCCAGCTGTATTTTGATTGAAACCTGTTATCTAATTTTAGAGGTTCCCCATTGTTCACCAGTTCAATTTGCTTGCATGTCTGGCGAATGTATTCCGGAACGCCTCAAGTGCAATGGCCGAGAGGACTGCTACGACGGATCAGACGAAGCCGACTGCCGTAAGTTCCAAGTTTAACCAGCTGATACTTGTTTCCCAGATCTGCCTTAATAAACTATTTCGGTGTGTCAGCTTTGTTGGGATGGAACTCAATCAGTTATGGGAATTATCTTCCGATGAAAGTCCTCGGCCTCTTTAATCATATTCTAACTGACGTCGATAGCTTTTCGATACAGTTGTCAGGTGACCGGTTGTTGGTAAATTGATACCAAAACAATCCACGGTCTTAAGCTGGATTATGCTTTCGGCACTTTGTCAAAATGGAATACCGATAGCTTGGAGGCCTTAGTTGGTTGTAAAGCACTTAGTGTGGGCGAGATGGCCCAAGTGGTTGGAGCGCGAATTTACCGACCTTAAGGTCTGTGGTTCGAACCCGACCTCTGCCTCTCGTCTTGGGCAACCTGGTAGTATCCTAGCCCTCGTGCTTCCTTCGGAGGGCATGGCAGCTAGGCACCAAAAGGGTGCTACCCCTGAGCGAAAGCAATTAGCTATTGACAGGTTAGGCGTCCTCAGCTATTTGTTTCGAATGGTTTGCTGGAAATCGTGTATCACTTTCATGGTGCTGTGGAGTGAGTGAATCCTGTTACCCCGCTTACATTTACACAACTTTTAAGAGTGCTTCATGCATCTTGTTGTGATAGGCTGATTAAAGGTCAGCTTTATCGCAGTTTTGCTGTCCTGCCCCCTCCCACGATTGGTGACGTAAAACATTTGCAAGCGTATGGCGAATCCGAAGACTTATTAGATTGCTCACAGCATCTTGTAGGGTGCCACTTACTCATCAAAAATCCGTGCTCTGATGCGTCACGCTCTCCCACCAGTTCAGACTACCCCCGAGCTGTCCAAATAAAGGGAAAGCTGATAAACGATCCGCTGTTGCCCAATTCCTGGGGATGTACGCACTAAGTAGCACTTTTGTGCGCATTTGACCCCATATATGGATAACAAGTCAATTAAAATTGGTTAAATTAGTTGTCTGAAACATTCACTCGGTTAGTCAACTCCAGAGCTGAATAGCGCAATCTAACGATCCTCGCAACAGGAGCGGCTGAACACGTCACATCTCAGGGTTGTCGGTTACAAACTATTCACTCGTCAAATATCTGAAAATTCGTCCACGTCAGCAACCTTATGAGTAGTGCATTACGAATATATCTGTATCGCGCTATCTCGAATATCGTAGCGACTGAATTATGAGGCGACCTGATGCAGCACATTCAGTTGTCTGGAAACATCACAAACGAGAGATTCAGCTAGGTTTCAGGGGAGTCTCTCGCAAAATCAAATTAGTTTGAAAATAGTGTATTTAGCTAATAATCTTTGTTCCCAGCCCCTTTCTTCGAAGTTCCATTGTAAGAAAATGTATTCCATGCAGTGGCTCGGATACTCGAGCTCTAAACAACAGGATACTAATCGATTGAATGCTTCGTAAGGATGATGTTGCTCTGTGCGCGTTTCGCACTCTTCATACTCACCTATACTCCACAAAGGTACCAGGAAACAGTAGCTCTAAAATCGATGCACACTAAGTGGTTCGCATTTACCGAGAATGGTGGTTGCTCAGGTTGTAGTGATGGCCTTTGGTTTGTTCGCTTGGGTGAGCAATTTGGTTGCAAACGTTTCACCACTGGTCAAGGTGACGTCATCAGTGAGTTGTGAGTGAAAGTGTGTTGAGATTGTTAATGGGTGATTGTTGTGCTTGCATGGATTGATGTAGATAGGTGGTCACCCAAGTCGATCTTAATCGAATATTGATCGTTTGTGTGAGCTTTCATATTGGCCCGTTGGTCGACCTCTCCTCTGATTGATGGTTGTCCGCCTGTACTCGAGACTTGACGTTTGTGATCTTTTTTCGTTGCTCTCCATAGTGAGTTCCGTTTTTTGGTCCGTAAGTCTGATAACCAAGACCGACTCGGTGATCAACAACTCGTAGCGCTGAATCCGGGGTGACTGTATCAATACGCATTTCCAACCTCAACGCGCTGATGATGTCACCTCAACTGGTGCTGAAACGTTTACTACCAAATCACTCAGCTCAACGAACAGACCAACAGCCACGGTAAACTGTGGTCAGAGAGGTACTTACGTTTCGAACCAGTCTGCCAGCTGGATCTCACTAGCTTTGCCCTAACTTGGCAGCTCTAGAATAGTTAGTGGTAGTCTGTCTCTGAATTGAACTAGATTCAGCCAGATCATTAGTCGGAGTTTGCGATGCTGGTACACCAATCTTTGGAGAGAACATGTGGGCTGGTAAAGTGCAGAGAGTATCTCGTATTCACTACAATAAACTCGATCTGTATTGTCAAGTGTCTTCTTCTAAAACAAACTTAACTTTCCTATTCAGCTACGCGGTGTCGCCCTGATCAGTTCATGTGCTATTCCGGAGAGTGTATCGCCAGCAGGCAACGATGCAACGGTTTTCGGGACTGTCGAGATGGTTCGGATGAAACCGGATGTGGTGAGTAGTGCCGGAAAGTTTAACTCGCTGACTTCCCAGTAGGTTTTAGAAAGAGGTCACTTATCCATAAAGTCATGGGTACAGCTCCAGGAACGATGTTATTCGTTCACACCATGACCCTTGTTAGTGACAGGGTCATGCACTCTGTTATTACGTGGAAGCGCCAGCTCGTAGTGAGCGCTTCTGTCAGATGTTGCCGCTAACATTCACTGACAAGTATACTTTAAAACATCTTGATTGGTCTTCGAGATTTTGGCTCCTTCTATGGAGATTGTCAGCTCTTCCCAGTAGGTAAAGACAAACAGATATTCACTCACAGTCGTCCGTGAGTTCGGCTCGAGGGATGGCTGTGTAAACCAGTGTCGAGCCAACAGGAATTCCCTGCCGGCGCAACAGGACGATACCCAACACTGGAACTCTGAATAAAATAGTCCATATGGGCTTATCCTGCCTGGTCAATTTAACCTGACTAAACATATCTTCTGGACGCAGCCTGATTCGCCTACAAAACCAAACTGAGCACCTGAAGAGCTTGGGCGAAGTATATACATCGTTCTGTCAAACAACACAACCTACTGTATTGAACCCAGTAACGCATAAACGATAATACTTGGGCGTATCGTACGGGGAAATCGAACATCATCAACAGGGTAGTGTGTTTTCGAAAAAGTTTGGTGACAATCGGTAGATTTATTGCTGAGCGACATTTCGCTTTTGACACAAAAGCTTCTTCAGGCCAAGTGACTAGGTTCCGAGGTTGGTCGAGATTTAAGGCGGACGGAGAACCAAACAGCTAAGTCAGGCTAAATCTCTGTTGGGTGTCGGCTGCGGGTAGTGTGTTATTAAAACGGTTTATAGCCAAGAAAGGCGAAACCGGTCGTGGGTTGTAGAGGAGTTTTCAGCAACCTTGTGGTAATTTCCTTTATGAAAATATACTGCGAATATACTCGAATATCGTGCCAAATGAAAATATGAGGCGACCTGTGCGCAGCACATTCAGTTGTAGAACATCATAAACGAGAGATTCAGTTGCAACTTTGTGAGTAGTTTCCTTTGTGAAAATATATCTATCTATTGTGATAGCCTTTTGGCGATTGAATATTGCAGAAGTGCTGATAGCTGTTGGAACATTAACCATGAAGATTTTACCGTAAAATTTCAAAATAGTGTACGCATAGAAGCATCTGAATTTTTGGAATAGCAAGTTCCAACAACCGAATCGTCGATGAGTAGCTAGTCCTTTTCCTCTCCCGATGGCCAAAAGTTCCACGAAGTTCTTCCTCTGTTTCCATTTTAGCACTATTTTTAACTGCTATTTCTTCATCATGGTAAGAGCTAAGGTCGTGTGCGACAGTATCAACAATATCAATCGCTGCGCACTACTATCACCAATGAGTAGTTTGAATGTGCTCAATGGAATGTGTATTGTGTTGGCAAGTTTCTTCAACTGCGCACAGATTCTATAGACGCTCTCCTCGGACCAAACTTTATGCTTGTATCTCCTCTATTCAAAAGTTTCCATCCATCATCAAAGCTATCCAGAAAATCGCAGTATATTTCAGACCTGTTGTAACTTGGTAGATGATCTTGCAACTCTGTATCTGTCACGTGGCTTCCTGCTCCGCCCACCACGGTATATCAAGAGGCACGGCAGCTCTACACAGCCCTTCATGGAGACAAAGGAAAATTATTACAACTGTATTTATAGGATAGTCACAGTGTCCCACAAGGTCGTGCCAGAATCTCCGTGAGGGGACGAGAAGCGTTGAGGCAAGGATGCTCGACTCGGATTGACTGGCATTCTGACCAATCAGAGCATGCCTTCGTTTGTCCGTGTCCTGCACATGATACATCCGTCCAAATTATGTGATGTTCGGTTATTAGGGACGGCTGGCCTCGGTACAAGACCGGTAGGCCAAGGCAGTTAAGTGAACAAAGGAAATGGCGACAGGCTTTTAGGCAAAAGCGAGGGTCCCGTAATTTTTTGTACTCCATGAATTAGCTCGGAAAAATTTCAACCTGTCCGATGTTTGGTTTGGTCAGGTCAGGATGGTGTTCATTCGAATGACGTACAATACATGATATCCAGCACAAATTGCCTCACTGCCGACTCATGGTCAAATTTGATTGATCAATTTGTTCCGGTTGTTCTAAGGATTAGAAACAACTGATTCCATTCGGCTATTTTGGTCTAATACCCTTTCCCCCGATATAACGGTTACAGTTAAATTTATTTCAGCGAATCTGATAAGCTAGAATTCCTATATCTGTTTGTGGGATCTTACGAGTTTAATAAAACGCCGTAATAAAGGAGATACCCTTTCTTCCCGCAATTGCGTGCGTTTCTAACCAGTCCTGCCACCTGTTGTTCGGCCTGGGAAAATCGTTATACCACCGTACGGCCAAGTCGAACTCCAGTGCACATCAAACCAAGTTGGAGTGCGACCGATTTTACGCGTGCGCAATGGAACGTCCGTGGAGACTTTACCCCATTTCACAGTGGTCCGGCCAAATGTGGAAACGATAATAGCGAGAACATCTTCACTGACGGAGCGTGATGGAAGGCTGGTCGTGCAGTAAGTCTGTATGCACTTGGCGCGTGTGTTTGACCTGCCACAACCAGTCTCCGGTGAATAAAAAAAATGTCAAGCACGACTGCTGTCTACGCTTAACTCATGGGAACATCACCCTAGTAACAGTGGTTATCTTTCTTGATCAGGGTCATACTTGGTCATCCAATCTTTCGATGACCTAAACTGGTCAGCTGTTTTTTACTGAAGAAATTATAAAAACCATTGGATTATACGGCATCATTGTCTTCATCCCATCTGCTACTCCTAGGTTAAGCCCTCAAGTTGAATGTTAAAAAAGCGAATTTCATTGTCTTCCCTCTGGTTTCAAGGACAGAAATTTTCGGATGACAAGTACTGTGATTAAGCACAACTTACTAGTGGTTCCAACCATCCTGTCTGTGGAATTTGGGCCTAGTTCATTCTTTCAGGAACGAGGATTTGCATACTAATGTATATAGTTCACGAGTTCGAGTCCCATCCATTTGAATCCAGGTCCATGTGAAACAAGTTCTGATTCGGTTTCATGCACAAATCTCGGGACAGTTTGTTGCTCCATTCTATGCGGAAATTGGTTCATGCTCCTACTTACTGTAGCCCCAAATACCTTGGTTTACTTGAGTCTTAGGTTTAATAGTGTCAAAGTGGTACACTGATGTCCTCAAATTCAGAATACCACCAGGTTTCGAACATGAGTTTGAATGAATGCCTAGCGAAGCACACGAAAAGTACAAATCCTTCCAAATGTGGTCTGCTTGTCCATACTAATCAACCCTTAAAAGGCGTGTGAGCTTACCTCACTCCAAATTCTCTATAACGAAGAGGTGAATGTGTAAGCGTCGGCTGAGAAGCCATGCTTTCCCACAGAATTTTTTAAACAACGCCTACTCGAAAGTGCCTAGAAACATCTAAGACGCTGATAGGAGAGGACTGTACTTCAGTTGCGATCGGAACAGCAAAACGCAAGAACTAATTCATTAGCGCTAATAGGTTTTGCTATTAGACATGTTCAATTTCATTTTGAAAATCAATAAGCCTTCGGCTTTTCTTTTAGATGTGTGTACCCAACAGGCGAATCAACTGAAACGGAAATCGTTATTGATTCACCCTGTTTGCCAACGGAGATGATGTGCCGAAATCGAGATTGCATTCGACGTGAATTGTTCTGCAATGGGCGGCGTGACTGTACCGACGGTTCCGATGAAGGTCCACCACACTGCGACAGTGAGTTTATGACAGGGATGAGTAGTTCAGTCAAATCCGATGTTACTTTGTCCTGTTTTGGCAGGAGTTTTTGAAATTTAGAATCCTCCAGCAGCTCAAGAACAAACTGTGCTGTAAGCCGTATCAGTCGCCTGATGCTGGTCCGTTTCCTATTCACTTCTTTCCTAGTTCAAGGCCCAACCATCAATCCACAGCAACCCACTGTTCAACCATACGGGAGCGTGGAGATCAAGTGTGAATCCCATCAATTTGGAATAAGGCCGGAATTACGTGTGGCTAATGGTACATCGGTCGAACAGCTTCCTCGATTCCGAGTGACCAGACCAAACCTACAGGTTGTCATCGCTCGACTCGGTGATGTAACTGAAGCGGATCGCGGACTCCTTATACGGTAGGTACGCTCCTAAAATAGTGATCGCTTCATAACGTTGTCTCACGACTGAGAACGCACTGCCTAGGAGGTTAGGCAAAGGTAGGGTTTACGTCAAAGGTAGGTACAGTACGATATCATGGATTCGGCATTGTCAAAACTGCCGCTTTCATTGGTGCTATTCATACCGCTGCGGATGATAGTGTGCTGCGATTCTTCACTGTTTTGCTACGAAATTTGACGTGTTGATGACATTCTTTAGCCTTTCGTGCAATGCCTTCCTTGTAGGCTTGTAAGATTCTTGGTGAATTCCCATGTTCAGAGTGAGAAACAATGCCATAAGGTCCAGTTTGGTCATGCGAAATAAGATGTGCTGATCATTCCCCTGTTTATATGAATTTTCAGTTGTTCTAATTGCTGGACATGTTCCCCAATCCTGGTATAGGGTGGCTGAGTCAACCAAATTCGATTATCTATGTCATTGCGCGTGTCAGGGCTCGGATACCAACATAAAGTGCACTCGATCAAAGGACGGAGAGGTGGAAATTTTGTTAACCAGCCTGGGTTCATATCTGAAACTAATCCTCACTTGTACACCATCCACTTAAAACTCACTAGTTACCTCCCAGCCAGAGACGTTCAGGTTTGACTTGTATCACGTGATCCGAGGATATGACGCCTGAAGCCTGTTCACTGCAATATTGTCTTTCTCAAACCACGGTAGATGTGAAATTCACTTCGCCTAATCCAAGCAGGACAAAATCGATCTTGGTCATCACATGATCGGTTTAGAATAGTGTTGAAAAGGGGAATTCCGTCCTGATGACAAATACTCACGAGTTAATTGAACCAATAAACTAGCCAACCAATCACTGTTCTCCCTTTGGCCTAATCAGATTCATTTCGAAAGCAACTGCAAAAGAAAATCGATCACTCGTTCGATACAGCTCATGTTATAGTCTGTTGACTACGGGACTAGGGCTCTCGCCGATCTCTGCATACAGCCAGACAATTGATCAAAAGCAAGACCAAAAGCAGTCATCCTTGAGATGACCAACACTCAGATCTTAAACTGACTCATTCAAATGGGCTTCATTCGAAAATAAATCTTATTGCGACTGTAGCTCAGATAGCTAGAATGTGAACATGTGTTATCTAACCGTACTCACTGCTAGATTGTGCCACTCGGTCACTCAAACGCCAACCTTCCTCTTCACTGCAACCGGTGAATACTGTACACTGTATAGTTGTTGAACTGACAAATCCAAACACGCTGTATCATATCTAAGTTCAAGCTGATCACTGTGCTGATCAGCGTTAATGTTTATTCTATTGACGCTGCAATCTTTTCACTTCAGTTGCATGTACCGCACGGGTGAGTCGACCCAAGTGGAAATCACAGTTGAAACACCATGTGGTCCTGGGGAAGCGATGTGTCGAAACGGTCAGTGTCTACCGCCTGAAAAGTTCTGTGATGGAAGAGTTGATTGTCATGATGGGTCGGATGAGAGCCCACCGCGATGTTGTGAGTCATTTGCAAAAGTTTCTGCTTTACGGGTTGTTTTATTGATCCAAGATAATCGATTCTTTGTCGTCGTTATGGTTCTTGTTTGTACACCAATTGAGAGGTCTGTGATCAACTTAAGTGAATCGAACCAGCAATTTACTTTGAGGTACCTAGGTGCTTGGGGGGCATTGCTTCCAGGGACAGCCATGAGATCGTTGCTGGTACAGACGTCAGTCCCAACGATGTGCCTGCAAGGAGCAAGTTATTATTTGGATAAGGGGTGTGGGGAGGAAGTTGTAAAAAAGTAGGAATGAAGCGTCTACAGTATCCCATTTTCGCTCACCAGTCTTGCTGCAACAAGGAACGCGATCCGCGTGGCGGACACTGTGACATGGCAATACTGCTGGTTGAAGTAATCATGGTTGTACTTGGGCTGAGATTCTGCCAGAGCTCTCAAATCTAGACAGATAGAGCTGTGTTCCTCGATTAAAGCCCTAAGACTGACCGCAAGGTAGAGGTGTTTGGCAGCAAATACCAGGTCACCCCTTAGAGAACAAGTCGCTTCACATGTTCTAACCCCTGACCTGGAGGACTATGGGACTGTTTGTCGGACCTCCAATGCTAATCAGCGTGCTATGAGAGACTCTGAGAGTGTGACACGGACACCCCATCATTATAGCTCAATGAGTCATGGAAAAATACAAACCGTCACATCGCGGTAAGTTCCAGTCCCCTCATGACAGTAACATGTAAGCGGAAAATTCAAATACATAGGAAGGATTCAAAAACTGTATGAGAGCATAATTCTTCCCTATTTTGGACGATATTCATCAGGTATGGGTGACAGTACTCCTAGAAGCATAACTTTGTAAGAACTCGCCCCGTTATCACCTCGTCACCTTTTGCCCGGACATTTCCTCTGCTCAAATTGTTCTGATGTCCAACTGCCATAGAATGACCTTTGTTTGTACCCTGCCAAACAAACTCCTATCGTTGACGGTTCTTAAGTACGCATGATTACTACCCCCGGTGCTAATGGTATGCATTCTTTGTCAATTATTCACCTTGATCATGATTTGCAACCATTCATATATCGAAGTATTTTTCAGCGAGTGCACGTCCCATGATATAACAACAATGTTGCGGGGTTTACTCTTTCAATTTTGCACATTTTTATCACACTAAGCGCGCCGATCAACACTAGAATAACTCAATGAGACACTGCATGCAACGACTTGAATTTGTCCTGAGTATTTCGAACCGTTCAAGTTAACAAATCTCTTCAGAATACTAAGTATATATGGTTGCACATCTGAACTTGCAGTTCGGCAAGTAAGGAGTTTTTCTTCGACTTCTTAGTGCAAATGATTTATTCAGGTGAGTTTTAACAAGTATCCTTATTTGAATAGTAATTAGAATCATATTGCAAATGCTTCGTCGGCAACCGTGGAGATATCATCATTGCGTGGTTAAGTGGGTATTTCTTCCTCTGCTGCATATGAATATATAGTTCCTTAAGTGTAGCTAAAATGTTCCCCGTGATTGGTTATTCGATGGTCGACTATCAAGTAATCTAATTGGTCAGTTTAAGGTCAGTGTCGCGCTCTTGTCTGGTTCGTTGGCTACGCTTATCATTTGCTATTCTGCTTCTCTGGCTGATCCGTTATGTCCAACGACACGGAATGGGAACGCTGAAGTGGAGATATTCTGTGAACCAGTCACATATGAGGAAGTAAGGCCACAACGCACCATGGTTCCCAACGTAGTAATAGAGATAGTAGACATGGTTTAAACCATATATATATATATATATATATATATATATA